GGATATTTCGATGTTCATCTCATGAGGTCCGCGCCCTCATGAATAAAATGTGAAAGACCGCTGTTGGCCTATATACCTGAGAAGGTATATATATTACTCAGGAACCTTATATTCACCAGATTTAATCCAGTGTCGACCGCGGTTACATCTCAGAGAACCTTGTGTACGTTTAACAAGATTCTCTTAAAACTACTTGTCTGTTATATTTTATTTTTGAGTATTGTTTGAAAACTTATGTTGTTGTGAATAAAACAAATATATATTTTTTCAAGAAGTATTTTATTTTCAACGGACAACAAACTTCTCATCTATATTCTATGTGCTGCACTTATTCTTTGGTAATCCACAGGAAATTTTTTGCCCAATGCAAGAGAAAATAATTCCTATATATGGGACATTTGAATGAACTAGAGTTTTTCAAAAAGTCCTTCCCTAATTTTTCAGCATGCACTGACAAACCACCAAAACTATGACCCATTATGCTTATTTTCATGCTGAAAGATAGCAGGCTTTATACCCCCAAATATTTTTAATATTCTAATGTGATCACCATTTCAGGTCATGAGTATATAAAACATTGAATATTCAGCTTTGTCAGGAAGTCTTGTATTGTGGTAATGTAACCTTTTGGAAATCCAACTAACCATGGAATGAACACCAAAACTTGAAAAATACCTTATGCCAAGCTTCAAATTTATTTGAACCTCTTTGTGTTGAATTTCAAAACCCAGCAAGAGAAAATTAAGTTAGAGATGAGGTTTCAAGTTAGGAAAACAAGCTTTTCTATTGTGGGAAAGATAGAAGAATTGCTGGAAACTGTGAATGATGATAATCTGGGCCTTAAATTGTTTCTTTAATGAGTTGACAGGATGCTGAACTGTGAGGCTAGAATTCCTTTGGCAAATTAGCCTTTTACACCCTTTCAAAGCACATGAAGTTACTTTTATATTCCTTTCTGGTTCCTGAGTCAAGAAAATAATCATCGAAAAATCCCCAGAAAATTTGAGTGATGGAGGTTTGAGAGGAAAAGCTTTTGGGTTAAAGAGACCTTTATTGCATCTTGTGTAAGGGAATTAAGAGGGGAATGAAAAAATAAATTTCAGGAGGATTGACTGATCAAGGTTCAGCTGTCATTTCCATAAAATGCGACCATACTGCAGGCAATATTCTTCTCTGCTGCTCAACATTTTGAATCAATCATAACACTCGGCCAATATTCTTCCATATTCAGTAACCCACTCGTAAAATGTCCGAAGTTAATTTAGGAGTTGAATGAGGATTGCATATTTTTATTTCACAGAAATTTGTGTCAAGCTTGTTGAGTGCAAGGACATGTTCATACAAGGAAAAATGGCTTTAACATAAATTGAATGGTAAATCAGGTGCAATCAGTACAGATAAAAATCAGTCTGTAGATGCTTGATCTAATTGTGTGATAGAGAGCAAGCATGTAAATGAAAAATGGGTGATGAATTCTAAACATTACTTTAAAAAAAATCAACAATTTTGTACCCAGCATATTTACTGACTTCTTATTCAATAGTTTTTCTTCTTATTGAAACAATACTTCTTCAACTCACTGATGTCCAGTATTCTGATGTCCTTACAGTAACCAGGTTTCAGTAAATTTGTTTCATTGAAGTTGCAGAAGGTGTTGATCACCCTTGTCAACAAATGTGGTCCATTGGATCCCCATTTGTAGGGATTCAAACTGGAGAATAAGAAGAGGAGAATAAGAATTGTGTACTGACAAGATTAATCATGATTCTGTTTTAATTCTTTGGGGAACTAAATTCCTTGTTCTAGGGAAACTACTGACATAAAATTGAATATTTAGTGTGTCTAGGAGGAAAAGCATTGTTTCAAGCATTGAGGCTATATTGAATATCAATCAAATGTTGGTGCTTACTCATTTCACAGATATACTGATTTTTCACACATGTCAGACAAAATGACAAATCCTTTTAAAAGGATAAGAAGATAATTGTATAAGAGTTCAAGACAGACCAACTCTTGAATTCCAATTATAGTTTGCTTTCTGCATCAGCTGTCGCGGGTCAACTAGATGTCGCCCGCAGCGCAGGGACAGGAGAGGTACAGAAAGTGCAACGCAGCGTAGGAAATGCTGCATCGTACATGGAAAGAAATATCTCAAATTCCAAACAATTCAAGATAACAACAGTAATACCTTTTATTAAAACATTATGAAACCTGAAGATATTGATCTTCAGGAAAAATATTCCACCAAGTGAATCATCACTTGATGAAAGAAATTCCATGGAATTTATAAACAGACAATTAGTCACACCCCAGTGAAAACCTTGGAGAAGCTTTCCACTGGGGAGGACCTGGACCTGTGAGGAAGGAACAGCAGAATCAATCAATCCTGCTCTGGACTTTGGAGAGAACAGACCTGCATATTTTGTGTGTGACTTTTATTTGCTGGGAAATATTATTTGTGGACTTGGACATTTGCTGATAAACAGAAGTTGAGGGTTCAGGACCCTTAGGCCGCAAATGGCCGATTGTGCTATTAGCTTATTTCACTAAAACTGGATATTTGTGTTGGGGTCTGAGGACCTCCCACATCAGCTGATGCTGGAGGAAAACTTCATCAGTTGCTGGAAAAGACTTCAGGGAGCCAATAATTTGGCGCCAGACGAGTAATTTGTCCTCACTAATCTTTCAATAAATTAGTTGAAAGATTTATTGAATTTATTGAAAGATTAGTGAGGACAAATTACTCGTCTGGCGCCAAATTATTGGCTCCCTGAAGTCTTTTCCAGCAACTGATGAAGTTTTCCTCCAGCATCAGCTGATGTGGGAGGTCCTCAGACCCCAACACAAATATCCAGTTTTAGTGAAATAAGCTAATAGCACAATCGGCCATTTGCGGCCTAAGGGTCCTGAACCCTCAACTTCTGTTTATCAGCAAATGTCCAAGTCCACAAATAATATTTCCCAGCAAATAAAAGTCACACACAAAATATGCAGGTCTGTTCTCTCCAAAGTCCAGAGCAGGATTGATTGATTCTGCTGTTCCTTCCTCACAGGTCCAGGTCCTCCCCAGTGGAAAGCTTCTCCAAGGTTTTCACTGGGGTGTGACTAATTGTCTGTTTATAAATTCCATGGAATTTCTTTCATCAAGTGATGATTCACTTGGTGGAATATTTTTCCTGAAGATCAATATCTTCAGGTTTCATAATGTTTTAATAAAAGGTATTACTGTTGTTATCTTGAATTGTTTGGAATTTGAGATATTTCTTTCCATGTACGATGCAGCATTTCCTACGCTGCGTTGCACTTTCTGTACCTCTCCTGTCCCTGCGCTGCGGGCGACATCTAGTTGACCCGCGACAGCTGATGCAGAAAGCAAACTATAATTGGAATTCAAGAGTTGGTCTGTCTTGAACTCTTATACAATTATCTTCTTATCCTTTTAAAAGGATTTGTGTGCACAAATCTGTGTTACTCCTGTGTGTTTTTCAATTGTGTTTTTCAAATCTGTTTTCTGCATTTGATGTGCTTATTCTTTGAAATCATATCTATTCAATTCTGCTGTAACTGTCAATATACATGATTGAAAACTAGGAACATGAATTCAAGGAAACCCCTTGAATACGTGTTCTTGAAAAGGCTGGTTGTTTGTGTTTTTATTTATGTTCTTTTGTGATCCTTGATCACACCATCAATAAATAATTATAGTAGATTAAAAAATTAATGTCTGTCTGTCTGTCTGTTTGTCCGGATCAAATTTTGAAACTCAAATTTCCAGACTAGCTAGCAAGCTGAAACTTTCAGGATAGCCTAGAAACTGATGACAATGCAATCTTATGTGAAAAAATTAATTTTAAGAATATTTTTTTAAAAGAATAAAATAATTATAGTAGATTTCTATAATAAAACTTTGAGCAGATTTTCCTTGGCCCCAAGAAAAAAACCCATGGTGAACTGAATTGGTTGCAGAGGTCCGAGTTCAATCCCACCCCCTGGAACATTTTTTTTTCTAATTAATTAACACGTTTTTATTAACTCACTTTCTTGTCTGTTTGTTTGTCCGGATCAAATTTTGAAACTCAAATTTCACTCACTTCCCGACTAGCTATCAAGCTGAAACTTTCAGGATAGCCTAGAAACTGATGACAATGCAATCTTTTGTGAAAAAATAAATTTTAAGAATATTTTTTAAAAAGAATAAAATAATTATAGTAGATTAAAAAATTAATCTAAAAAACCACGTTTTCAAAAAGCAAAAAATAACCTTAAACGTGGTGCGCATCTATTTCATTTGTATTTCACTTCTTCCCAACAATCTCCATGCGCACCACGTTTAAGGTTATTTTTTGCTTTTTGAAAACGTGGTTTTTTAGATTAATTTTTTAATCTACTATAATTATTTTATTCTTTTTAAAAAATATTCTTAAAATTTATTTTTTCACAAAAGATTGCATTGTCATCAGTTTCTAGGCTATCCTGAAAGTTTCAGCTTGATAGCTAGTCGGGAAGTGAGTGAAATTTGAGTTTCAAAATTTGATCCAGACAAACAAACAGACAAGAAAGTGAGTTAATAAAAATGTGTTAATTAATTAGAAAAAAAATGTTCCAGGGGGTGGGATTGAACTCGGACCTCTGCAACCAATTCAGTTCACCATGGGTTTTTTTCTTGGGGCCAAGGAAAACCTGCTCAAAGTTTTATTATAGAAATCTACTAAAATTATTTTATTCTTTTTAAAAAATATTCTTAAAATTAATTTTTTCACAAAAGATTGCATTGTCATCTGTTTCTAAGCTATCCTGAAAGTTTCAGCTTGCTAGCTAGTCTGGAAGTGAGTGAAATTTGAGTTTCAAAATTTGATCGGGACAAACAGACAGACATAGACAGACAGACAAGAAAAGTGAGTTCATAAAAACGTGGTAAAATGAATTACTCTGGAGTTGACGCAATGGGAATGGGATGGGAGCGGCACCTATGTACAAGAGCTCAAGTATTTGAGAAGTAGTGAGAAAATGGCAATATCAATGTCGCCATTACCTAAAGAACAAGCACGATAATGGATTGGTGTCCGATAAGGTTGGACATTCTTCACTCATGCTGCGATTTGCTGAAAGTAAGTTTGAAACCCCTTTCAAGTACAATGAATGAAATTTTGGTGATTTTTTCTTGTACAGTACTGTACATTCGACCCCCAGTTTATGGACCGTCCGGCTTACGGATTTTTGTGTTATGGACTGTGTAGGTTTCCAAAAATCCACCCAGGTTAATGACGGTAACTCGGCTTACGGACCGCAGCCCGTTTTCCTGACTTTGAAAATGTAAGAAAAATTCAATTTTGAACCCAGCTTAAAATTATTTCCACAGGCGCAAGCACAAAGATGTTTTCTAAACTTCTTTTTTTAACATGCAAACATCTGGAAATTTGATGGAATCACAACCAAAAATGTGGAAACATGTTTGGAAATTTTACAAAAAGTAATCAAAAACGTTTTTACATTTTGAATTATGGCTATTTTTATTTTCACCATTTTTCAATAAAAAAAAAAGATTGAACTTCTGACACATCATTGTGCATGACACTCAGCAAACAATTTTCAAGTAGCATCAAAAGCAAAAAATTAAAATGAGTAAAACTTAAAAGTTGGAATTTTTGTTTCTGTATTTCTTCAAAATTTTGCATATTTTAAAGTTTACCAAAAAGTTAATTAAGCACTGAAGTGCAATTTTCAACTGCATTGGAAGTACCATGAAGTTCTCTACACTTCCCATTTTTAAACCATAAAATGATGCAAATTGACAGAGGTAAAAAGGAGAATGTAAAACCTTTTTACATAACTTATTCTTCTGAAATTATTTTTTTTGAGCTAAAAATGTATACAAATTTTTTTTGCACTCTTCACATTTGATAACTTTACATTTGAATAGGGTGTGATGCACAGAGGAGTTTTATAAACTTGTAATATTTTTGTAGATAAAATATAGCTAATTCAAAAATATCAAAAAATTAGATTTCCTAAGATTTTGGGATTGAGTGACTAATAACAGTGCTTTACTTAAAACAAAAACGGAGATGAAAAAACACCCCGACTTTTAAAAATAATGGGTATTTTCTGTTGAAAAAAAACGGGCGTTTTTTTTATTTTCCCCCTCTGTTCAAAAAAAGGGGATATTCAAAAGCACAGTGACATTCTGTAACTGCACAACACCTGCAATTTATACACTGAAAATAAATGAAAGAATAAAGTATAATTATTAGTATTTCATAATGATTAGTGTAGAGAACTTCATGGTTTTCTAAATGCAAATAAAAATTCAACTTTAGTGCATAATTAACTTTTTGGAAAATTTTTAAATATGAAAAATTTGGAAGAAAAAGACAAACCTGAATTTAAACTTTTCAGTTTTACACATTATATATTTTTTGCTTTTGATGCAACTTGAAAATTGCTTGCAGGGTGTCATGCACAGTGATGTTTCACAAGTCGAATTATTTTTCATTGAAAAATGTTGAAAATTGAAATAGCTAAAATTCAGGAGGTACATACACATTTTGTTGTTGATTTTTCTGCAATTTCCAAAAAATATTTTTTAAATTTTTGATGGTAACTCTGCCCTATTTCAACATTTTTGAATGCATAGAAAAATGAAATTTAGGAAGCATTTGTGTGAACAAAAACGCTGAAAAGTGTGAAAAAAGATTCAAATTGAATTTGTAACACATTTTCAAATCCATAAAACCTGAAGCAAATAAAGTTCTTCAGGTCTGGAGGGCAGAAGAATTCCTTGCCAGGACATTTGCATGACAAGTTCAATACCATACAATTTCAAGCCCTTAAACACCAATTCAATGCACACAAAAGAAAAACAAGAAAAAAACATCAGGAATGGAAACAAAGTCAGTTTTTGTTGATGTATTTCATGTTGAGTCCCCACAGCTCCCCATTGGCTATGGAAGCAGAGACTATAGGACAATGTTTGGCAGCAAGCAGACCAAGAGCTTGAGGGGTACCCACTTGGATAGGTTCATCCACAGACAGTTTATTCCAGTAATGCATCAAATAACTCTGGTCAGCCTTCTTGAGAATTCTTGCAGAAATAATTTGAGAATGATTGAACAACGGTTGCCATGAAGTATATGGGACTGGATAAAATGCACCTGTCAAAACATCAAACAGAAGCATTTGATACGCAGTGCAAATAAAATTGATGAAGTTAATTTCCAAGCTAGCATGTATCAATTATAACACTCTGCCAAGATTCTTCAATGTTCCCTAACTTGCTAGTCAAATATCTGAAGTAAATTTAGAAGTTTAATGATGATTGCATAACATCTTCACTTCACAAAATCTAGTGTCAAGCCTGCTGAGGGCAAGAAAATGTTCATACAGGAAAAGTGGCTTCAAAATATGGCATGGTAAATCAGGTGCAATCATTACAGATGAAGATCAGTCTATAGGTGTTCAATATACATGTGTGACAGAAAGCAAGGGTGTAAATGAAAAATGGGTACTGAGTGGAAAATATTACTTACAAAATTATTGAACCATTCTGTACCTATTACTGACTTAATGTTTAATTGTCTTTCTTCTTATTGAAACTATATATCTTCAACTTACTGGAGTCCAATATTCTGATGCCCTTACAATAACCAGCTTTCAGTGAATTTGTTTTATTGAAGTTGCAGAAGGTGTGGATCACTCTTGTCAACAAACCTGGTCCATTGGATCCCCATTTGTAGGGATTAAACCTGGAGAATGAGAGGGGGAGAATAAGAGTTGTGTACTGTCAAGACTAATCATGATTCTTTCTAATTCTTTGGGAAACCATACTCCATTAAAATTGAATATTTTGTGTGTCTTGGATGAAAAGAGTTGATTCAGGCATTGAGGCTATTGAAAATCAAGCAAATGTTGATGCTTACTCACTTCACAGACATTATGCTGGTTTCTTACACCAATGAGCAAGTTGAAGAATGAAAAAATTAAGTTCTTGGTTTCAGCTCAGGCTGAAGTCTAGTCTGTGATTCTTCATTGCCCAGCAAGCAGTTATATATTCTTTATTCTTCAGAGTGCTGAGTTTCTGAAATTTCAAGATATGACCAATGATTTGAAGAAGGAAGATAACAATAAGAAAAGTTCCATATGGGATTTTGGTAATGTCAGTTGTTGGGTGTCCATTTTAGTTGGAGACCTATAAATCAAATACTGGTAATAAAAATTTTGGAACTCACTTTGCAGACACATCTTTCAAACAGGCTTCTATGTAGGGATGGTGCTTCTCAAATGCCATGACAGCATTATTAACCTCTTTGGTGGATTGAAGACCCACAGCATTCACCAGATCATCCATGGGCCTCATGACAAATCACATCAGTGTCCAAGTACAATCCACCATACTTGAACAAGGTGACATACCTCAGGACATTACTGGATTGGGCAGTTTTAAATGGACTCTTATCAAATAAGTTTTTGGAAAGCCATGGCAAAAGAATGGTCCCATTCAGCCATTGGACAATGTCCAAGTGGATGAACATAACATTTGGGTACCTTTCAGACCAGGATTTCAAAACTATGGGCAGCTGCAAAAAATTATTTTTTATTGCCACTACCACAGGTCTGTTGGGGTGATGTAGAGCTGCAGACTCAACTGCACAGAGCTGTTTGGGACTCAACATGGGCAATCCTGATGTTTCCATCAAGTAAATCGCATTTTCTGGAATTTTTGAGGGATCTAGGGTTTTCAATGTCTGTTGCACCTCATTATTCTTCGTTTGACGAAATCCCAGCATATTTTCCCGTTTACTAATTAACATTCCGACCAGGATCACAATGATAAGAGCGAAGATAACCGTGGACTTGGAATACTTCTTTTGAATTCTGCTTCCCACACAAGAAGGAGTCATGATTTCTCTCTAAATAAGATTCTTATTTTTATGGTATTTTATGCAAATTTCCTTGCATTCCAAACACGAAGCTCCTGAAATGAAAGAAGTTTATTCCAGTCAAAAAAATAGATAAATAAAATATTCAGTGAACTCTATGAAACCCTTGGTCTACCTTCCAGTGACAATTTCAGTGATTTGTTTCAAGTTCACATCAGTTTTCCTGTGACAGCATCGCAAGAAAAAAAGACAAAGCAAAATTTTACATATACATAACTGATCCTTTGTGAAGATCTTCACCAAAATCTTGTTCAAACTGATGATTGTATTCCACATAATTATAATTATGCAATTTTTTTTTAAATTCCTTGAAAGGAAAAACCGGGAGGACTCATTTTCTATGCAAGTAGAAATGCACATTGTCATCAGACATCAATTATATCGACAAGAATACAAAGATTTCAAGACAGCTCTTGAGTCTCTATACTTGATACTCTACCATATGGTAACTCAAGGCGTAATTAATTAATTCACTTATACCATTATTATTGGAGTTCTTGTGGATTGATGGTGAAAAATGTCACACACTCTTTTCATATCGTATACTTCAAGTTACCATGGCTCCAAGATTTCAATCTCCACTCAAAAAACTGATCAAGAATATACCCTTTAAATTTCAAATTATTGAAATCGTGAAATCATCAAAGAAAAGAAAATTATGAAATGCCCCGCGGCATCGATTTTCAAATGCCAAGATTTTGCTGTTTTTTGGAAAATTTCGAGGAATAAAACAAACCAAATTAGGCATATCGTGAAAATCTCATGAGTTATTTTTGCGAAAATTTGTCCCTGAAAATAAAAACGCTTGACAAAAATATCGGAGGGTACAAACATAATGAACATAATTCTAATTACCAGGATAAATAAACGAACTTAAAACATGCTACAGCAACTTGATTATTCTACACATGAATCGCACAAAAGATTTGCTACAAAAAAAAGAAGATATCCGCGTCTCATTTAGAAAAATAAACAGGTATCTACAATTCAAAAATAGAAACATGGAAAGATTGAAAAATCCGTTAAAAAGGCATCAGAAGAAATTTCACAATGAACAGGAGTTTTTTCGTTGCACCTTCAAGCATTCTAAAATCGAAACTGAAGGAAACATTTGAGCTTTCAGTCCTACGTTTTTCATGCCTGAAATGTTTTTCACTGCATTCGATTCACGTCAGCTTCTTTATTTTCTCTTTTTAAAAAGAAAAGTACTTTTCAGCGGCAAGAAAGTCGAGAAAAGAAAGTAAACTCTGCAGACGACGAAGCTTTTTTTTCCACCATCAAAGCACAAAACTCGTTTTGGTTGAAACTTATTGTCAAAAATTTAGAAAATTGTGACAGTATCAAATCCAAGAAAGTCGAGAAAAGAAAGTAAACTCTGCAGACGACGAAGCTTTTTTTTCCACCATCAAAGCACAAAACTCGTTTCGGTTGAAACTTATTGTCAAAAATTTAGAAAATTGTGACAGTATCAAATCCACCCTTTGCAGTCATGACTTATTAGTTTAAAAAATGTCACTCATTTTCTATGCAAGTAAAAATACACAATGTCATCAGACTTCAATTATATCTACAAGAATACAAAGATTCCAAGACAGCTCTTGAGTCTCTATACTTGATACTCTACCATATGGTATTTTATTTGTTATCTTAAATCGGTAAGCAGAATAAAAAGACTGTATAGTGATCAATTATGGTTGCTAATTTAATTGCTTGCCAAATAAACAAGGATCAGAGATTTAAATTGTTTTCTGAAACTTCAGAAGGAAAAACAAAAGTTAACTCCATGAGTTTTAGTTTATTATCAAAATCCACACAATATTTGTGCAAACAATATTGCAGAGGAAACCAGCAACAACAAGGTATTTGTTTGGTGTCAGAGTACGTGTTATGCTTACTTGAACATAAAATGCCCCTGTATTTATAACTTTGGTTAGCCAATGTCAAGAAATGTGCTGGGCAACCAATTTGTATTGGGATAGTGTCATACTTTGTTTGCTGAAGAGAAAGAAACATTAGCATGGCTGAGAAAGGGATTCTGGTCATCAACAGGATTGTGAAATATAATGGCTAGGGCATCTATTAGTCTAGAGGGAACCAAGCACAGAATTTTTAATTCCATTAAATTTTTTTTATCCCAATTGAAACTGATCCAATCAATATCTTTCAACACAATATGGACATTTGGAGCCTTAAATGCAGACACCTCTATATAGTGCATAGAAATGTTGTCATTCTGTGTTAAGATAACATTCAAGTGAAAAAGAGAGAAGAATTAATAATTCCTCTATGCTGGAAGTAATTTTTTTAAATGATCTAAATGGATGGTAAATTGATGAGAGAAATGCCAAAGAACTTTTTTTTACATCAGTTTTATAGCTTGAAAAATTCATTTCTTGTAATTTGGCCTGTAACTTCTTAGCAATTCCATCACACAATTGTCCATATGTCAAGTCAGTCTCTGCATGATGGGCCTTTTTAATTAATTTTTTATGGGAAAATGAGTGTCCCCATGTTTAATTGTCTGCAGGTTGAGGTGTCCACATGTGGGGGTGTCACTGTAATTTTTGATGACAACATGTTCTTTTTCTTTGAATAGGATACATAATTTACACACTTTGCTTCCTCAGTCCCCCTTTTCTGAGAGCAGGACAGGTTTTCTGAGAAACCTTCCTGATATACAGTACTTTTCCAGCATAGCAGTTGGGCATCATGACAATGAAAACAAAATTGAGTCCGGAATCCGCAAGAAAACGAGGTACGGTAAAATATTATGTAAAAAAGAAATTGGAAGGACTTGAGGATTTGACTTCAGCGCAGTAGTTGAAATAACAATTGGCCGTTCGTGAATACCCACGTACATTACTGTACAGTACTGTACCTCACTTGACGGACTCACGGACGTCATCTGTACTGTGGATTGCGTAACTGTACGAAATCTTGCCAGAATCTTTGTAGAAGGCGTACGAAATGCAACATGAGAGTAGGCCTCACTATCCCATGGGTCAACTTCCGGGTCAACACAAAATCCAACTATTGCACTGTCATACGTACGAAATCGATTTTGTACGGAAATATCACATTAGCTGACATACAACATAATTAACGCACAACAGACGAGATCGTATGCGAGAAAATTAGACTATAAGACGAAGAAACACTGAAGTTGGCGCGGTGGAAACGGGATGGGAGCGGCACCTATACACAAAAGCACGGATACTCAAAGAAGCGGTGATAAAATCGTGATACAGATGTCGCCCTCGCCTAGAAAAAAACGAGCATGCTGAAATCAAGTTCAAAATCCCTTTGAACAACAATGAATGCAATTATGGGTGATTTTTCTTATGCAACAGTGTATAATGCTTATATACGACTGCATGCTTCACTTCATCACTTCAGGAATTGTCATGAAGGCCATACTGAGTATCACAGCATGGAAATGTCTCCTGTTACAGACTGTTTGCTGTGTGGTTTATAATTGGGAGAAAAAGGTCTTCTTTGAGTATTTTCCCTGCTTAGGTCCTGCAAGGGAACCTGTAAATACCAGTGATGAAATAAAAGCCATACATGTGATTGATAACAATTCAGTAACAACCCAATTGTCACTGTCTGGAATTATGTGTAACAAGCCAAGCAGATTTTAACTCAAGAGACCTCCTTCCATTGTGCATTCATCTTCAGAATTTTCATCAATGCTCATGTAGTCTCAATATATTATTTTTATAAGATTTGAGAATTGTTGCACACGTTTGCAGTATTTTGCATCATTTGAATTCGGTAGAACCTTTCTAGATTTTCTGAGCAACATGAACAAGGGCTTATAGTCCTTCTTCTCATCATTATGGCGACATGTACTTGATACATAAAAGAGACAAATTTCCAAGCCTAGAAAAAATTGTCTGTGGTTGCACAGAAGTGCACAGTTTTCCATGAAAGCATTATAAGAAATTAATTGCTTTAAAACATGAGGCTCAAAAATTTGTATTATACTGTACAGCAAAATATAATTTCAATGACTCATAGTAGAAAATTTGTTGCAACAAAAATTAAGTGAATCAATATTCAGAGATATGGCTTGTGCATAAAAAAATGGAAGCTCTTCACAACCATTGCATGACTTGAATAAGCTAGTCAGTGATTTTAGTTTGCACTACTTTATTCACAACACAATGCAACAAATCATGTTCCACCAGCCGGGAACTTGAAAGGAGAAACAACCCTCTTAACATGAATTCCAAAGGAAATCAAACAAAAACACTGAAAACACAGAGTAGAAGCCACAAAGAAGGTTGAAGAAAAGTGAGACTCTAGAAGTAGCCTCACTACTTCTAGGAAAGGTGGCAAATAGAAACAGTTGTAAATAAAAAAGGATCAATTTTGGATTGTTTTTGGAGTTCAAAATTTCAACTTGGAACCATGTTCTGACGCTGGGCTCCACTGGATCAATCCTTTGAATAAAATCTATACACAGTTACTTCTTGCAGTTTACATCTGATTTGCCAGTTTTTTGGCTTCCAGCAGTTCTTCAGTTCTGCAAGGCAGAGGAATTTTTTGCCTTAGGACATTTGGATGACAAGTTCAATTTCATACAATTTCAAACTCTCAAACACTGATTCAATGCACACAAAAACAAGAAGGAAACATCAGGAATGAAAACAAAGTCAATTTTTGTTGATGGAATTCATGTTGAGTCCCCATAGCTCCCCATTGGCTATTGAAGCAGAGACTAATGGACAATGTTTGGCAGCAAGCAGACCAAGAGCTTGAGGAGTACCCACTTGAATGGGTTCATCCACAGACATTTTATTCCAGTAATGCAGCAAATAACTCTGCTCAGCCTTTCTGAGAACAGTTGCAGAAATATTTTGATCATGGTTGAACAACGTTTGCCATGAAGTATGTGGTACTGGATAAAAGGCACCTGCCAAAAATTGAACAGAAGTATATGATCTGCAGTGCAAGTGTAATTAAGGAAGCTAGAATTCATTTCCAAGTTAGAATCAATGTCAGGTACTTTGATTTGAGACTTTCAATGCACTACTTTCTGATCAGGAGTTTCAGGACATAATTATTTTATACTTTATTAGCAATAAAAATGAAGCTTGTTTGTTACCAGTGAATGAAGTGATCAATGTAAACTCAATCTCTTCATATTAAAAAACCAAAAATATGAATATATACAGTACTGTATTATTAATAACTAAAGTGCTTCTAAAAATTCAGATGATACCCATAGTACATATCATTGCTTATGCATTGAGCTTTGTACCTCAACAGAAAAAGGAAACTTTAGCAAGATAAGGTAATTTTATGATTTATTCTCCTTTGCAACATTTTACTAATAGGATTGTCTCTGCAATAAAGAAATTATGAATGGTTGATCTTCCTTTACAATCATGAGCTTGAACCTTCTGGTAATAGTTGTTGGTGATCTGACCAACAACTACAGTATTACTGAAAAAATACTGCAACACCACAAGTATGACCTATCATACAAATATTCTCGCTGGGAATACAGTGAGCTTGATAGCCCTAAGTTAATTCAATATTTTAATGTGATCATCATTTCAGGTCATGAGCATACAAAACACTGAAAATTCAGCTGTGCCAGGAAGTCTTCTATTGTATCAATGTAACCTTTAGGAAATCCAACTAACCATGGAATGATCACCAAAACTTGAAAAATGCTTTATCTCAAGGTTCAAATTCAGCCAAACCTCTCTTAAGTTGAATTTCAAAGACCAGCAAGACAAAATTGAGCAACAGAGTTTACAAGTTAAAAGAACAAGCATTTGTTTTGTGGGAAAGATGGAAGAATTTTAGGAAACTGTAAGTGATGAAAATCTGGGCCTTAAATTGTTTCTTCAATGAGTTGACAGGAGACTGAACTTTGAGGCAAGAGTTCCTCAGTAAAATTAGCCTTTCACCTCCTTTCAAAGCACATGAAGTGACTTTTATATTGCTTTCTTATTGTTCCTGGGTCAAGAAAATAATCATCAAAGAGGCCTCCGAAAGTTTGAGTGATGGAGGTTTGAGAGGAAAAGTCCTAGAGTGAAAGAGACCTTTATCACATCTTGTCTAAGGAAATTAAGCGGGGAACTTTAAAAAAATTTTATTTCACAAGGTTCAGCTGTAATTTCCTTCAAATGCTACTGTAATGTTTTTCTCTGCTGCTCTACATTGTGAATCAATCATAACACTCTGCCAAGATTCTTCCATGTTCACTGCCTTGCTAGTAAAATATCTGAAGTAAATTTATAAGTTCAACTAAGATTGCATAACATCTTCATTTGACATAATCTATTGTCAAGCTTGCTGAGTGCAAGAAAATGTTCATACAGGAAAAGTGGCTTCAAAATATGGCATGGTAAATCAGGTGCAATCATTACAGATGAAGATCAGTCTATAGGTGTTCAATATACATGTGTGACAGAAAGCAAGGGTGTAAATGAAAAATGGGTACTGAATGGAAAATATTACTTACAAAATTATTGAACCATTCTGTACCTATACTTACTGACTTATTGTTCTATTGTATTTCTTCTGATTGAAACAAAATATCTTCAACTCACTGATGTCCAATATTCGGATGCCCTTGCAATCACCAGGTTTCAGTAAATTTGTTGCATTGAAGTTGCAGAAGGTGTTGATCACCCTTGTCAACAAATTTGGTCCATTGGATCCCCATTTGTAGGGATTAAAACTGGAGAAAAAGAGGAGGATAATAAGAATTGCGTACTGTCAAGATTAATCATGATTCTTTCTAATTCTTTGGGGAACTAAACTCTTTGTTCTAGGGAAACTCTTGAAGTAAAATTGAATATTTTGTGTGTCTTGGCTGAAAAGCATTGATTCAGGCATTGAGGCTATTGAAAATCAATCAAATTTAGATGCTTACTCACTTCACAGATATGCTGATTTCTCACACAAGTTTGAGAAAATGACGGATGACTCCAATGAGCAAGTGAAAGAATAAAATTTAAAGTTCTTGGTTACAGCTCAGGCTAACATTTAGTCTGTACTTCTTTGTTGCCTATAAGCAAGCAGACATATTTTTTAAAAATAATTCAAAGAGGTGAGTTTCTGAAATTTCACCATAGGACCAATGATTTGAAGAAGGAAGATAACAATTAGAAAAGTTCCATGCAGGATTTTAGTAATATCAGGTCTTGGATGTCCATTACAGTTGGTGACCTATCAATCAAATAAAGGTATAGTACACATTTTGGAACTCACTTTGCAAACACCTCTTTCAAACAGGCTTCTATGTAGGGATGGTGCTTCTCAAATGCCATTACAGCATTATTAATCACATTGGTTGATTGAAGACCCACAGCATTCATCAGATCATACATTGGCCTCATGACAATCACATCAGTGTCCAAGTACAATCCACCAGACTTGAACAAGGTGACATACCTCAGGACATTACTGGATTGGGTAGTTTTGAATGGACTCTTGTCAAATAAGTTTTTGGAAAGCCATGGCAAAAGAATGGTTCCATTTAGCCATTGGACAATGTCTAGTGTGGTGAACATGATATTTTTGTACTTTTCAGACCAGGATTTGACAACTGAGGGCAATTGCAAAAACTTATTTTTCACTGCCACTACCACGGATCTGTTGGGGTGATGTAGAGCTGCAGACTCAACTGCACAGAGCTGTTTGGGACTCAACATGGGCAATCCTGATGTCTCCAGAAAATAAATCCCATTTTCTGGGATTTTCGTGGGATCAATAGTTTTCAATGTCTGTTGCACCTCATTATTCTTCGTTTGACGAAATTCCAGCATGTTTTCCCGTTTACTAATCAGCATTCCGACCAGGATCACATTGATCAGAGCAAAGAGAACCGTGGACTTGGAATACCTGTTTTGAATAATGCTTCTCACTGCAAAAGGATTCATGATTTCTCTCTAAATACGTGTCTTATTTTTATTGTGTTATATGCAAATTTCCTTGCGTTCCAAACACGGGGCTCCTGAAATGAAAGAAAATGTTCCAGCTGAAGAATACTGTAGATAATTACCATAATGTTGAGGCACCAGTTTTCGGACGACATTATTTGTTAGCTTGTTGGAACGATTCATTGCAGGAATGAAATGCACCGAAGAAATCAGGGAAAATATCTCACGGGGATTTTCATCAATAAATTTTGTCAAGAATTTTCACTGAAAATATGACTGAAATGTTGAAATACTAGCTTGGGGACTCTGGAAATCCAAGTACAATACCCGAGTTTGCGCACAAATCAGGTAAAAAAAAAAATTGAATGCCATGCAAATTTCCGCAGGAATTCCGTTTTACCCTCGCACCGGGTAATAATGCAATTTTGCACGCCATTCTCTCTCTCTCTCTTGCGCAAGTAAAAATTCTTGTCGAGGGGTTCGCAAGGAACAGTTTGAATTCGTGTTGAATTTGCAGATCAGTTCCGGGTGGTTTTTTTCTTATTTTATTTTTTAAAGATTTCGTTTTCACAAGAAACCAACTTACTTCTGATTGAAGGCATTTTCAGTTTTTTTTTTACACCGTCAGCCTGGATGTTACTATTTGGCGCATTTCATTCCTAATTTCAGTGAACATTAGTAAACCCTTGGTCTTCCTTCTCCTCCAAAAATTTGAGTAATTTTTTTTTGCAAGTTAAAATCAGTTTTCCTGTGAAAGCATTTCCAGAAAAAAAAGAAAGGGCGACATTTTACAAACATAACCGATCCCTTGGGAAGATTTTTTTTATTCTTCATCGAAATCTCATTTAAACTGATGATTGGATACCGTTTAATTGTAATTGAAATTCCTTTAAAAAAATACCGTTTGGACTCACTGGACGATTCGTCTCAAGGACACGCAAAACTCGAAAAATCTGCCCCGACATCGGACCATATCTTAAAATTTAGACCTTTTTTGAAAATTTGAATAACAACGGCAATACTATAGACCTTAAATTGCTATAATATCTCTGAAAGAATTGAGGGATGAAAAAAAATGGATAATAGTTGTCACATATAAATTTAATTTTAATCATTATAGGAAGTAATCTATTTTTCTCCTCTTCATTTTCCCCCACAGAGTGAAGTAATTGAAATACTTATCAATATTGGATTATCTCTTGTAAAACGTAATCCGACACCGCAGACAATATTAAAATATGGACAGCGTGAGAGAACAAATTATGTCCGCATCTCGGAGCCCCCAGAATTTGTACTTTCAACGAAGCACAGATATAAAAAATATTTTCAAATGAACGGTGAACCCAGAACACTATATTTGCATAACAGTAACGTATGAATTTCCCACTCGCGAATTGGGAAGGTATTTTTAAATACACTATTTCGCAATTAAAATAATCGTCGAAGTCATTGAATCATCAAAAAAAAAAATGAATACTGAAATGCCCCACGGCATCAGTTTTCAAATGCCAAGATTTTGCAGTTTATAGAATCATTTTGAGGAATGAGAGAAACCAAATCAAGTATATTGCGAATTTCTCATGAGGTATTCTGAAATTATTTTTGCGAAAATTGGTCCCTGGAAAAAAAAACACTTTGGCGAAAATATCGGAGGGCACAAACATAATGAAGATAATTTTAATTGCCACTATACATAACCTGACTTCACATGAATCACGCAAAAGATTTAAAAAAAGAAAATCGGCATCTCATAAAAAAACAAGACATCCACAATCGAAAAATAATCGAACACAGAGAAGAATTGAAAAATTCGTTCGAAAGCCATGACAAAAAATCTGAAAATTGACAAGAATTTCGTTCGTTGCACTTTCAGGCACGCATTCCAGAAACTAGACTGAAGGAAAAAAATTTGAGCTTTCAGTTAAAAGTTTCAAATGTTTTCGTGGGTAAAAGGCGGGAACGAAGAAATGCTGAATAACAGTCTTTCAGGCCTGGAATGTTTCAGTGCACTTAATTTACTCGATAAAAAGAAAAACAAACTTTTCAGCTAATAGAAAGTCCAGAAAACGAAAAAAGAAAACATACACCGCATACACACAAACGAAGACTTTTTTTTCCACCATACCAAAAAAAAAAATCGTTTTGGCTGAAAATACATTTGGCTTTGTTTACATTTTTATCACTTGATACCATTGAGAGAGCTCAGCTTTAAATATATATAAGTTAAATGCTTGAGAATCATGTACAATTGTAAGTAATACCATTGATGAAATGGGATGTGCATTAAATTTCAATTGAAGCTGTAAACATTTCAAGAGTCTACTGACTATTGAGTCCCTGTTATAGTGTTCCTTGGAAACCATGTACACTGTACTCAAAATCCCTGTTCAGCTTGAAGGGTTTCCACTCCCCATCAAGTCTTCGTAACACTAATTTTCTGGAGGCCTTTTGTCTTTCATTTTAACTCAACAACACAAAAATCTAACTTACTGTAATGTGTATACAAAACCGATTTTGCACAGAAAAGTCATATTGGCTCTTACACAGCAAAAGTAACATACAGCAGACAAGACAGCATCAGGTGAAAAAAAAAATTAGTAGATTCAAAAAATAATCTAAAAAACCTCGTTTTCAAAAAGCAAAAAATAACCTTGAACGTGGTGCGCATCTATTTCATTTGAATTTCACTTCATCCCAACAATCTCCATGCGCACCACGTTCAAGGTTATTTTTTGATTTTTGAAAACGTGGTTTTTTAGATTATTTTTTTAATCTACTAAATTTTTTTGTGCTTTTTAGTCTTACTTGAAAAACGTGGTTTTTTAGATTAATCACCTGATGCTGTCTTGTCTGCTGTATGTTACTTTTGCTGTGTAAGAGCCAATATGACTTTTCTGTGCAAAATCGGTTTTGTATACACATTACAGTAAGTTAGATTTTTGTGTTGTTGAGTTAAAAAAGGGATCAGCATGGCACCTATATACAAAAGGTAGAGTATTCAAGAAGCGGTGATAAAATCGCACTTTATATGTCGCCGTCGACAAATAAACAAGTGCAGAATAAGCGCTTCTCTCTTCCAGTCTTTGGAAATTCTTCACTCATGGTGCATTAGGAGCAAATAATATTTCCTGAGCGTAAGTTTGAAACCCCGTTTGAGCAAAAATGAAAGCATTTCTGGTGATTTCCCTTTTATATAGAGTACTTTATTATGCTTATACCACGGATGCATGCGTCACTCAATCACTTCAGGAAATATCATTGGTTGTATATTACACTCATTAAGACTTTTTATGCTAATTGTCATGAGGGCCACACTGAGTATCACAGCAAGGACATGTCTCCTGTTGCAGACTGTTTGCTGAATGGCTTATAATTGGGAAAAATGGGTCTTCTATGAGTATTTTCCGTGCTTAGGTCCAGCAAAGGACCCTGTAAATACCAGTGATGTAATAACACCCAAACATGGAAAGGATTCAATTCAGTAAGAACCCAATTGGCACTGTTTGGAATTATGTTTAACAAGACACATTTTTCAATCAGGACAAGAGATTTCCTTCCATTGTGCATTCATCTTCATCATGTTTATCAAAGCTCATGCAGTCTTGATCTATTTTTTAATAAGATTTGAGAATTGTTGCACAAGTTTGCATCCTTTTGTATCATTTGAATTTGGTAAAATATTTCTGGATTTTCTGAGCAACATGAACTAATTATAAAGGTTACAATCCTTCAATTCTCATCATTATGGCAATATATTCACTTGAAAAATAGAACGGACAAGTTTCCAAATTTGAAGATCTAGAAAAAAATTGCCTTTGATAGCACAAAAGTGCACTTTTTTCCATGAATGCATCATAAGAAAGTAATTGCTTTAAATCATGAGGCTCAATAATTTGCATTATAGTGTAGAATATAATTTCAATGACTTCTAGAAGAAGAATTTTTAAAAAAATTAACTGAATCAATACCTAGATATATAATTAATGCATGGAAAAATTGAAGCTCTTTCCAAGCAGTCAGTGTATCACTAAAATAAGTTAGTCAGTGATTTTAGTCTGCAATGTTTTTTTTCACAACACAATAACAACAAATCATGTTCCACAAGCCATGAACTGGAAAGGAGAAACAATCTTTCCAACATAAATTCAAAACAAATCACACAACAACAAAAAACTGAAAACCTGGAGTAGTAGCCACAAAGAAGGTTGAAGAAAAGTGATGCTCTATAGGAGTCAAACAAAAGGTGGCAAATAAAAACAGGTGGAAGTAAAAAAGGATCAATGCTGCATTGTTTTTGGAGTTCAAAATTTCCACTTGGAACCATGTTCTGATGCTGGGTTCCATTGGAATAATCCCATGAATAAAATCTATATACATTTACTTTTATCCATTTGATTTGCCTGATTACATCTGATTTCCCAGTTTTTTGGCTTCCAGTTCTTCAGTTCTGAAAGGCAGAGGAATTTCTGGCTAGGAAATTGGGATGACAAGTTCAATTTCATACAATATCAAACCCTCAAACACTGATTCAATGCACACAAAAAACAAAAAGGAAACATCAGGAATGGAAAACAAAGTCAGTTTTTGTTGATGGATTTAATTTTGATTCCCCACAGCTCCCCATTGGCTATTGAAGCAGAAACTAATGGACAATTTTTGGCAGCAAGCACACCAAGAGCTTGAGGGGTACCCACTTGAATGGGTTTATCCACAGACAGATTATTCCAGTAATGCATGGTATAGCTCTGCTCAGCCTTTTTGAGAACAGTTGCAGAAATATTTTGTGAATGATCAAACAACGGTTGCCATGAAGTATGAGGAACTGGGTAAAATGCACCTGTCAAAACATCAAACACAAGCATTTGCTATGCAGTGCAAGATTAAATTGAGTAACTTCATTTCCAAGATGAAATGAATGCCATGTGCTCATGATTTGAGACTTTCGATGTTAAAAATCTTATCAGGAGTTTCAGGACATTATTATTTGATACTTTATTAGCAATAAAAATTAGGTTTGTTTGTTACCAGAAAATACAGTGTTCAGTTTAAACTCAGTCTCATCATATAAAACACCAAGTGCTGTTAAAAATTCAGATGACACCCATCAAGTGATTGATTGCTTATGAAATGAGATTTGTACCTCAGCATATTTAATTGTTTCTTTAATGAGTTGACAGGATGCTGAACTTTGAGGCCAGGGTTCCTTTGCAAAATTAGCCTTTCCCCTCATTTCAAAACACATGAACATGAAGTCCTTTGCTACTTTTTCTTTCTAGTGTCAAGAAAATAATTGTCAAAATGTCTCAGAAAATTTGAGTTATGGAGGTTTGAGAGGAAAAGTTTTGGGTTATTTTGAGACTTTCATTGTATTTTTTCAGGGAATTAACAGGGAAATTGAAAATTTTTTTTACTTCAGGTGCTTTGAGTTATCAAGGATCAGCTGTAATATTGTTCAAATGTAACTCTGATGCAAGCCATGTTTTTCTCTACTGCTCTAGATTTTGTATCAATCATAACACTCTTTCTTCAAGAATCATTCAATGTTCACTAACTTGCTGGTAAAATATCTGAGGTTAACTTAGAAGCTTAATGATTGCATACCATCTTTATTTCAAAATCCATTGCCAACCTTTCTGAGTTCAAGGAAATGTTCATACCGGAAAAGTTGCTTAAAACTAAATTGCATGTTTAATGAGGTGAAATCAGTATTTATGAAGATCAGTTATAGGTGTTTAATAAAAGCGTGTAACACGAACAACAAGTGTCTAAATTGAAAATGATTACTGAATTGTAGACATTACTTTCATAATCAATCAACAATTCTGTAGCCATATTTACTGACTTATTGTTTGATTGTCTTTCTTGTTATTGAAACAGTACATATTCAACTCACTGATATCCAATATTCTGATGCCCTTGCAATAACCAGGTTTCAGTAAATTTGTTGCATTGAAGTTGCAGTAGGTGTTGATCACCCTGGTCAATAAATCCGGTCCATTGGATCCCCATTTGTAGGGATTAAAGCTGGAGAATAAGAGGGGGAATTGTGTACTGATGTCAAGATTATTCATCATTCTTCCTAAATAATTTGTGGAGCCATGAACTTTGCTGTTTAATGGAAACTTCTGAAATAAAATTGAATATTTGGTATGTCTTGGTCCTTGGATGAAAAAATGATTGAAGCTTTGAGGCTATTGAAAATCAATGAAATGCTAATGCTTACTCAATACACAGATATATACTGATTTCTTGAACAAGTCTGACAAAATGATCAATGAGCAGGTTAACAAATGAAAAAATTCAAGTTTTGGGTTTCAACTCAGACTAAAATCTAGTCGCTGTAGTTCTTCATGGTCTGGCAAGGTTTTATCTTTTAACACTCCAGAGAGCTGAGTTTGTGAAATTTCAAGATAGGATAAATGATTTGAAAAAGGAAGATAGCAATATAAAAAATTCCATAAGGAAGTGTTCCCCAACCTCTTTGGATTCATAGACTGGACAATTTTTGTAACTTCTTTTGTGGACAGGACAATTCCCAAAAAATTTTGTTAACTAAAAAGCACAAAAAAATTTAGTAGTTAAAAAAATTAATCTAAAAAACCATGTTTTGAAAAAGGAAAAAATAACCTTAAACGTGGTGCGCATGGAGATTGTTGGATTAAGGTTATTTTTTCCTTTTTCAAAATGTGGTTTTTTAGATTAATTTTTTAATCTACTATAATTATTTTCAAGAACAATTGAGTTGAGCACCAATGAAGCAGCTATATCACCAAAAATTATATAGATGTGCTTGGAGAAAGATTTCTCAGAATTTAAAATTAAAAAAGTTTAATTCGGAAGGCGAGCCTTTTTCTCATGTGTTATTAGGAAAAAGTCAACTTTTACTTCAATCCAATAATTTCAACTGCAATTGTCCAGAAAGTTTAGGTAGATATATAACAGACTTCATTATTGGGACTTCTCAGGAATATATTGAGCTGAAAATTTGCAGTGGACCAGCAAAAACCTTCTGCAGACCAGCACCAGACCATGGACACAAGGTTTGGGGAACACTGCCATAGAGTATTTCTTAACATCAAGTTGTGGGTAACCAGTGTAGTTGGAGACCTATCAATCAACTTAAAAACAATTTTGGAACTCACTTTGCAGACAGCTCATTCATGCAGGCTTCCATGAAGGGATGGTGCTTATCAAAAGCCATTGCAGCACCATTAAGCCCTGTGGTTGAATAAAGACCCACAGCATTCACAAGGTCATCCATTGGCCTCAAGACAATCACATCAGTGTCCAAGTAAAATCCACCATACTTGAACAGGGTGGCATACCTCAGGGCATTACTGGCTTGGGGAGTTTTGAATGGACTCTTGTCAAGTAAATTTTTGGAAAGCCATGGCAGAAGAATGGTCCCATTCAGCCATTGGACAATGTCCAAATTGATGAACATGACATTTGGGTACATTTCAGACCAGGATTTCAAAACTATGGGCAGCTGCAAGAACTTATTATTCACTGCCATTACCACGGATCTGTTGGGGTGATGCAGAGCTGCAGACTCAACTGCACAGAGCTGTTTGGGACTCAACATGGGCAATCCTGATGTCTCCATCAAATAAATCGCATTTTCCGGGATTTTTGAGGCATCAATGGTTTTCAATGTCTGTTGCGAGACTTTCACCTCATCATTTTGGGATTGACGAAGTTCCAGCCAATTTTTCGGTTTAGTAATTAAAATTCCCACCAGGATCACAATGATCACAGCAAAGAAAACCGTGGCCTTGGAATACCTCTTTTGAATAATGCTTCTCACACCACAGAGAGTCATGGTTTCTCTCTAAATATGCGTCTTATTTGTATTATCTTCTATCGAAAATTTTTTGCATTCCAAACACAGGGCTCCTGAAATGAAAGACATTTTCAGTTAAAAAATATACATAAAATATTCAGGCACCAGTTTTCAGACGACATTATTATTTAGTTTGTTAGAACGATGCATTGCACAGAGGAAATGCACCGAATAAGTCAGTGATCCTTTGTGAAGATTTTTATATTCATCACCAAAATCTCATTCAAACTGATGATTGGATCCCGCATAATTTTAATTGAAATTGTTTTGTCATTCCTTGAAGAAAAAATCCTGTGAGGACTCTTGGCAATTCCACTTTAGGACATGCAAAACTCCAAAAATCTGTATTAACATTGGATCATGTCTTGAAATACATGCTGGAAAAAACTGCAAGAAAATGACACCGCAGTGCCAGAAGATTAAACTTCTCTAAATCCTTATTATTTTAAAAAATTAGCAGAATTTGTCCTTTGTAGTCAAATAAATGTCATGACTACAATCCATTGCACTTTGTGTCGTTCCCTTGTTCACTCTAGCTCTCATTCCGCATCGTCAATCACGTGCGCAACTGTACCTTTTACTTCCTTTTAAATAATGCATTCTTTGTTGTACGCCTTTTACCTTTATTGCCGCGCAACCAAGTATGTTGACACCAATCCGAATCAGTTTCTAGGCTTGGCAATGACCTTAACGCAATTGTCTATATATACTAGTGTCCGCAATAATATTTATGCTGACTCTCCTCAAACTCTTGCGGCAAGAACCTCTACGGCGCATGCTCATATATTTCTACACTTTGTGAAACAGAAATAAAGACGCACTTGTAAGAATAGTTGAAGTACAATTTTGGCTCCTCAAAAGTATGCAGAAAACAATTCAAATCTTCAACATCAACCATCAAGGCAGTTTAATTAAGAAGATTTGTCTGATCAACAATTCTGCAACAAAATTTAGCTAGTTAAAACAACACCTTCTCTGAGGCCAGTGTGTTGCAAAAATAAATGGTAAAGTATAATTTGTCACACCGTAAATAACAAACTCAAGAATCCAAATCCTTGGAAAAACTTGTCCTCATACATCTTTGTGAGAACCAGGAAAAAATGCTGTTTGCCTATTTCTCAAAAGGTTTAAATCATTGCAAAATTTATGGAAATTCCTAAACTGTTATTTATCTTTGAAGGACAGTTTTCGTTTTTTCACTCTAATTCCTTTTTCATCATTCCATTTCAAGCTCTTGTAGGCAACACTTGAGCAAATTTTCTAGATATTCATTATCTTTCTGAATTTGAAATTACAGCAACTTTATAATAGGGTGAAATTTCACCCAGTTGTTGCCAGACCAAATTCTTGGTTTAATTAATTCTAGCCTTTTTCTTTATTCTTGAAATATTCCAAACACTGTGAACCAAACCCAAATGTGGTGCTCAGGCTCAGCAAGAACACTTATTCTGAAAAGAAAAGCCTTTCTCTCTAAAAAAAAAACCATCCTTCATGTTATTCTTTTCCTGATTTCAACACCTCCAGCAAAAACTTTTCACTTGTTGAAAACCCGAGCTGATCTCTGTGAAGAGAAGTTGTTGTCAATCCTTGTTTTTTCATACCTGAAATATTACGTCTCAAAGTTGACCAAGTTATAACAAATATACTCTTGTCAAATATACAAACTTAAACTAGGACAAAAATGTTCTGGCCTCAGCCCAACTGCTTGAGCCTGTTTTGATTATTTCTTGTGCTTTGCGAATTTTCTGAAAGCCAAGTCCTTTAGCTCTCATTTTTAGTTTTTAAATTTGAGCTTCATATTCCTCTTCTCTCTTTGTGATTCAAGATTTATTTTTTCTCAAAGTACAGACCTTTTTAAATTTTTTTAAATAGCAATGGTAATGTAGCATACCTTAAATTGCTAATAGCTTCGAACAAAATTGAGTGATGTGCAAAAATGGAAAATAGTTTACAGTGTAAATTTAATTTTAATCATTTTAAAAAGTAAGCTTATTTTTTGGCTTCATTTTCCCCCACAGTGAAGTCATTAAAATAATTATCAATTTGAATATATGTCGCAAAACGTAATCAAGAATTGCAGAAAATTCAATTTAAGAGACATAGACATAACGTGAAAGAACATATGTCCGCATCTCGGGTTCCTCGATTTTGTGCTTTCAACGAAGCGCAGATAAAAAAATATTTTCCAATTTTCTATGTACAGTGAGGCCAAAAAAATTATTAGCACAAGAATACTGTATATTTTTTCCACTTGCGAGTTGGGGGAGTATTTTGAAACACAGAATTTCGCAATTAAAATAATGCATTATCTTCGCACACTCTCAACGGGTAATTAAGTGATACTGTAATTCACTCATCCCATTATTTTTGGAGTTCTTGTGGATTGATGGTGGAATAGTCACACACTCCATTCCTCTATAGTACAAAAATCCAAGATGCCATCGTTCAAAGATTTCGAATTTCTCATGAGGTATTCTGAAATTATTTTGGGAAAATTGTCCCTGAAAAAAAAGGAAACACGTTGACGAAAATATCGGAGGACACAAACATAATGAACACAATTTTCATTGCCATGTTAAACAAACTAACTTAAAACATGCTAAAACTTGATTATTCTTCACATTAATCTCGCAAAAGATTTGCAAATGAATTTATTAAATCTGCCTCTGCAACAGGTATCTACAATTCGAAAAACACGAACATAGAAAAATTGAAAAATCCGTCGAAAAGGCCTCAGAGAAAATTTCACGATGAACAGGAATTTTTTCGTTCCACTTTCAAGCATTCCAGAATCTAGACTGAAGGAAAAATGTGTGACCTCTCAGCTCCACGTTCTCAACGTTTTCGTGGCTACGGGCGAAACGTTGAACAGCCTGAATAAATGCCCCAGTGCACTTCATTTACTCATTAAAAACAATGCAAGTTTTCAGCCGTAAGAAAGTCTAGAAAACGAAAAAAAAATACACCCACCCTACGCACAAACGAAGTCATTTTCTTTCCACGATCCAAAGAAGAAAACTTGTGTTGGTTGAAACTCACATGGAATTTTGTTGTCGATCGTTGAAATTTCGAAAAATATGTGTGAGGGAATCAAACTCACCCTCATGTGTTGTCATGATGACTTAGTTTAGAAAATGGCACTTTTTTTTTTGCAATAGAAATGCAAATGTTTCTTTCTTCTTTGAGTAGAATGGATAATTTACACACTTTGCTTCTTCATGCAGTGACCACCTTTTCTTGAGAAAAGCAAAAAAAAAAAAAAATGATGGTATCTTTCAAATCCCACTCGATCTGCTGCATCATCACACTTGAACTTGATCATTAGCAACATCTACCAAAAACTGGTCAAGTTTAGTCCAAAACTACATATTGTAGCTAAGGTGAATCAGAGGGAGTCTCATCACAGAGATTGAGTCCATAGCTTTTCTTTTGATGGACTTTCATTCAACTTGACTTGATGATGGAGTATGTCTGTATATGTCCAAGGGGTATCCAGATTTAGCAAAGTTTCCAACTGAAATTTAACCTAATTGCAAATGTCCAATCTAGCTGAAATTTTCAAAACTTGTCAAACATTGTTGATAAGGCAATTTAGTAAAATTTCAGAATTTTTGTGCGACCAAAAAATTGCGTAAAATTAACAAAACACAAATCATCATGAGACACTCTTTTAACCCCTGTAGAACTGTTCAAAATGATGCAAATTTCAGGGTTCTATTTATCAAGCACTGCTTCAAGCATTGTGAGAGTTTCAAAATTTTGGAATGAAAAAATGTTTCTATTTGAAAAGAGAGAAATTCTGGAATTGTGCAATGCAGTGATGTGTAGCACAGGTGAAAACTGTGCTGCACCTGTACTTGTAAGGTCAGAGTTCAAATCCAGGTTAAGGCTGATCTTCTCTATTGGCCATGAGAAATAAGGCAGACCTGATGTATAACCAGCTGTGATTGAGCTTTCAAACTGCAATCCAAGTACAATTTATTGATATGATCTGTTTTTAGTGATAAAAAGGTTAAATAGATTCTTATCCATAAAAAGAGTTAAATAAAATAATGTTTACAAAACACAAAGAATAGACTAACATGGGGAACATGAACTTTCCAAAAATGTCTTGATGTATAGTGGTCTAATGAAAGTGTGGGGCCAAATTTTTGTTCAAGATAGAGGACAAGCGTAAGGTTTTCACTAAGGCCTCATTGATGGATTTTGTTGTTTAGTGAATGATTTTGAGGAATGAGAGAAACCAAATTGAACATATGGTGAATTTCTCATGAGGTGCACTGGAATTATTCTCGTAAAAATTTGTCCCTGAAAAAAAAAACCCCTTTGACGAAAATATCGGAGGACACAAACATAATGAACCTAATGTGTATCAGTTACACCTAGTTTGTATCATTTAAATTTGGTAAAATATTTCTAGATTTTCTGAGCAACATGAACTGATGATAAGGGTTACAATCCTTCAATTCACATCATTATGGCGATATGCACTTGAAAAATAGAACTGACAAATTTCCAAATTTGAAGATCTGAAGAAAATTGCCTTTGATAGCACAAAAGTGCACTGTTTTCCATGAATGCATCATAATAAAGTAATTGCTTTAAATCATGAGGCTCAATAATTTGTATTATTGTGTGAAATATAATTTCAATGACTTCTGGAAGAATAATTTGTAGCAACAAAAATCAACTGAATCAATGACTAGATAAAGTATATTACTTGTGCATGAAAAAATTGAAGCTCTTTCCAAGCAGTCAGTGTATGACTAAAATAAGGTAGTCAGTGATTTTAGTCTGCAATGTTTTTTTTTCACAACACAATAACAACAAATCATGTTCCACCAACCAGGAACTGGAAAGGAGAAACAATCTTTCCAACATAAATTCAAAAGGAAATCACACAACAACAAAAAACTGAAAACCCAAAGTAGTAGCCACAAAGAAGGTTGAAGAAAAGTGATGCTCTAGGAGTCAAACAAAAGGTGGCAAATAGAAACAGGTGGAAGTAAAAAAGGATCAATGCTGCATTGTTTTTGGAGTTCAAAATTTCAACTTGGAACCATGTTCTGATGCTGGGTTCCATTGGATCAATCCCATGAATGAAATCCATATACATTTACTTTTAGCCATTTACATCTGATTTCCCAGTTTTTTGGCTTCCAGCAGTTCTTCAGTTCTGCAAGGCAGAGGAATTTCTGGCCAGGAAATTTGGATGACAAGTTCAATTTCATACAATATCAAACCCTCACACACTGATTCAATGCACACAAAAACAAGAAGGAAACATCAGGAATGGAAACAAAGTCAGTTTTTGTTGATGTATTTCATGTTGAGTCCCCACAGCTCATCATTGGCTATTGAAGCAGAGACTAATGGACAATGTTTGGCAGCAAGCACACCAAGAGCTTGAGGGGTACCCACTTGAATGGGTTCATCCACAGACAGTTTATTCCAGTAATGCAGCAAATAACTCTGCTCAGCCTTTTTGAGAACAGTTGCAGAAATATTTTGTGAATGATCAAACAACGGTTGCCATGAAGTATATGGGACTGGATAAAATGCACCTGTAAAAAGGTTGAAGACAAGCATTTGCAATGCAGTGCAAGTGAAATTGATGAACTTCATTTCCAAACTAGAATGAATGCTATTTACTTACAATTAGAGACTATCAATTTTCAAATCTGATCAGGAGTTTCAGGACATTATTATTTGATACTTGATTAGCATTAAATATTGAGTTGGTTTGTTACCAGTGAATGCAGTGATAACAAGAAACTCAGTCTCTTCAAATAAAAAAATGAAGTGCTCTTAAAAATTCAGATGACACCCATCAAGTGATTGATTGCTTATGAAATGAGATTTGTGCCTCAGCAGATTAAATTGCTGCTTTAATGAGTTGACAGGATGCTGAACTTTGAGGCCATTGTTCCTTTGCCAAATTAGCTTTTTACCTCCTTTCAAAGCACATGAAGTTACCATTTCTTACAGCTTTCTCTTTCTTGTGTCAAGAAAATAATTGTCAAAAGGTCTCATTTTAGTTATGGAGGTTTGAGAGGAAAAGATTTTGGCCTATTGAGACTTTCATTGTATCCTTTTTGAGGGAATTAAGAGGGAAATTGAAAAAAAATTTACTTCATGTGCTTTGAGTTATCAGGGTTCAGCTGTGATTTCCTTGAAATGTAACTCTGATGCAAGTCATGTTTTTCTCTACTGCTCTAGATTTTGTATCAATCACATTACTCTTCCTTCAAGAATCATTCAATGTTCACTAACTTGCTGGTAAAATATCTGAGGTCAATTTAGAAGTTTAAAAACTGCTTAACATCTTTATATCAAAACCTGTAGTCAAGCTTACTGAGTGCAAGGAAATGTTCAAACCGGAAAAGTGGCTTGAAAGTTGAAACTAAATTGCATGTTGAATGAGGTGAAATAAGTAATAATGAAGATCAGTCTATAGGTGTTCAATAAAAGCGTGTGACACAAACAGCAAGTGCCTAAATTGAAAATGGTTACTGAATTGAAGACATTATACTTTCATAAGCAATCAACAATTCTGTAGCCATATTTACTTACTTAGTGTTTGATTGTCTTGCTTGTTATTGAAACAGTATATATTCAACTCACTGATATCCAATATTTTGATATCCTTGCAATAGCCAGGTTTCAGTAAATTTGTTGCATTGAAGTTGCAGAAGGTGTGGATCACTCTTGTCAACAAATCTGGTCCATTGGATTCCCATTTGTAGGGATTAAAGCTGGAGAATAAGAGGGGGAATTGTGTACTGATGTCAAGATTAATCGTCATTCTTCCTAATTAATTTGTGCAACCATGAACTTTGCTGTTTCATGGAAACTTCTGAAGTAAAATTGAATACTTTGTATGTCTTGGTCCTTGGATGAAAAAAATTGATTCAAGCATTGTGGCAATTGAAAATCAATGAAATGCTGACACTTAATCAGTTCGTAGACATACAGATTTCTTGCACAAGGCTGACAAAATTATCAATGAGCAAGTTAAAAAAATAAAAAAATTCAAGTTCTTGGTTTTAGCTCATCATAGGCTAAAATCTAGTCTGTACTTCTTCATGGTTTGGCAAGTTGTCATTTTTTTTAATTCCTCAGAGAGCTGAGTTTGTGGAATTTCAATATAGGACCAATGACCTTAACCCAACAAATTTTGTGAACTTTTTGCAGACACTCAAAAGTTTGGCTTGAAAAACTTTTTGGCGGGTAATAAACCAAGTTTCTTATTTTTTAGTATAACAATTGAGTTGAGCACCAATGAAGCAGCTATATCACCAAAAATTATATTGGTGTGCTTGCAGAGAAAGGTTTCTCAGAATTTAAAATTAAAATATATCAATTCTGAAGGCAAATATTTGTCTGGTGTGTTATTATGAAAAACGTCAACTTATACTTCAATCCAATAATTTGTAATGCAATTGTCCGGAAATTTAAGGTAGATATAACAGACTTCATTGCACTTTTCATAAATGTATTAAGCTGAAAATTTCCTGAGGACCAGCAAAAAAGTTCTGCAGACCAGCACCAGTCCATGGATGCAAGGTTTGGGGAACACTGCCATAGAGTATTTGTATAACATCAAGTTGTGGGTAACCAGTGTAGTTGGAGACCTATCAATCAACTTAACAATTTTGGAACTCACTTTGCAGACAGCTCATTCATGCAGGCTTCCATGTAGGGATGGTGCTTCTTAAAAGCCATTGCAGCACCATTAATCAATTTGGTTTCAAAAAGACCCACAGCATTCACAAGGTCATCCATTGACCTCATGACAATCACATCAGTGTCCAAGTAAAATCCACCATACTTGAACAGGGTGGCATACCTCAGGACATCACTGGAATGGGCAGTTTTAAATGGACTCTTGTCAAGTAAGTTTTTGGATAACCATGACTGAAGAATGGTTCCACTCAGCCATTGGACAATGTCCAACTTGATGAACATAACATTTGGGTACATTTCAGACCAGGATTTCAAAATTATGGGCAGCTGCAAGAACTTATTTGTCACTGCCACTACCACGGATCTTTTGGGATGATGTAGAGCTGCAGACTCAACTGCACAGAGCTGTTTGGGACTCAACATGGGCATTCCTGATGTATCCATGAAAAAAATCGAATTTTCCGGGATTTTTGAGGCATCAATGGTTTTCAATGTCTGTTGCGCGACTTTCACCTCATCATTTTGGGATTGACGAAGTTCCTGCCCATTCTTCGGTTTACTAATTAACATTCCGACCAGGCTCACAATGATCACAGCAAAGATTACTGTGGACTTGGAATACCTCCTTTTAATAATGCTTCTCACACCAAAGGGAGTCATGATTTCTCTGTAATTATGCGTCTTATTTGTATTATCTTCTATACAATTTTTTTGCATTCCAAACACAGGGCTCCTGAAATGATAGACATTTTCGGTAAAAAAAAAATAGATACATACAATATTCAGGCACCAGTTTTCAGACGACATTATTATTTAGTTTGTTAGAACGATGCATTGCACAGATGAAATGCACCGAATAAATCAGCGAAAATAATCATGGCGTATTCAAGAATAATTTCTTTCATCAATTTTCACTGAAAAGGACTGAAATGTTAAAATCATAAGCTTGGGTGCTTTGAAATTCCAGGTACAATATCCGAGTTTGCGCACAAATCTGGTAAAAAAAAACTTGAATACCATGAGACGCAGCCGATTTCCGCAGAATTTCCGTTTCACCCTCGCACTGTACGTAATAATGTCATTTTGCACGCCATTCTCTCTGTCACTCTTCAGTAAACCCTTGATCTTCCTTCTACGGCAATTTGAGTAATTTGTTGTAAGTTCATATCAGTTTTCCTTTGACAGATGCGAGGGGAAAAAGCAGGTCGATATTTTACAAACATATAACTGATATAACTGATTGTGAAGATTTTTTCATTCATCACCAAAATCTCATTTGAACTGATGATTGGATCCCGTATAAATTTAATTAAAATTGTTTTTGTCCTTCCTTGGAAAAAAAAAATCCTGTGAGGTCTCTGGACAATTCCATTTTAGGACATGCAAAACTCCAAAAATCTGCCCCAACATCGGACCATGTCTTGAAATACATGTTGGAAAAAACTGCGACAAAAAAAAGAACTTCTCTAAATCCTTATCGTCAGTCATTTGAACAATAAATCATCGAAGAAAATAAATACTCAAATGCCCCGCGGCATCAGTTTTCAAATGCCAAGATTTTGCTGTTGATTGAATCATCGTTTTGAGGAATGAGTGAAATCAAATTAAGAATATTGCGAATTTCTCATGACGAGGTATTCTGAAATTAATCTTCCGAAAATTTGTCCCTGAAAAAAAAAAAACATTTTGACGAAAATATCGGAGGACACAAACATAATGAACATAATTTTAATTGCCATGTTAAATAAACTAACTTCGAATATGCTAAAACTTGATTATTCTTCACATGAATCTCGCAAAGGATTTGCAAATAAATTTAATAAATCTGCCTCTGCAACAGGTATCTACAATTCGAAAAACACGAACATAGAAAAATTGAAAAATCCGTCGAAAAGGCCTTAGAGAAAATTTCACGATGAACAGGAATTTTTTCGTTGCACTTTCAAGCATTCCAGAATCGAGACTGAAGGAAAACTTTGACCTCTTAGTTCCACGTTCTCAACGTTTTCTTATTGGCTACGGGCGAAACGTTCAACAGTCAGTGCACTTCGTTCAACCATTATAAACAATGTAAGTTTTGAGCCGTAAGAAAGTCGAGAAAACGAAAAAAAAAAAAATACACCCACCCTATACGCACAAACGAAGTCATTTCTTTTTCACGATCGAAAGAAGAGAACTCGTTTTGGTTGAAACTCACATGAAATTATGTTGTCGATCGTTGAAATTTCGAAAAAAACATTTGAGGGAATCAATCTTACCCTCATGTATTGTCATGATGACTTAGTTTAGAAAATGACACTTGTTTTTTTTTGCAATAGAAATGCAAATATGTATTTCTTCTTTGAGTAGAATACATAATTTAAACACTTTGCTTCTTCAAAGCCCCCCTTTTATTGAAAAGAGCAAAAAAAATGATGGTACTGTATCTTTCAAATCCCACTCGATCTGCTGCATCATCACACTTGATCATTAGCGACATCTACCAAAAACTGTTGAAATTTTGTCCAAAATTTCATATTGTAGCGAAGGTGAATCAGAGGGAGTCTCATCAGAGAGATTGACTCCATAGCTTTTCTTTTCATATACTTTTATTTAACTTGACTTGATTATATGGGGTGTGTCTGTAAGTCTAAGGGGTTTCCAGATTTAGCAAAGTTTGCAACTGAAATTTAACCTCAATTGCAAATGTCCAATCTAGTTGAAATTTTCCAAACTTGTCAAACATTCATGATAAGGCAATTTAAAAAAATTTCAGAATTTTTGTGTGACCAGAAAATTGCGTAAAATTGACAAAACACAAATCGTCATGAGACACTCTTGTAACCCCTATAAAACTGCTCAAAATGACTCAAATCTTGGGATTCTATTCATCAAGCACTGCTTCAAGCATTGTGAGAGCTTCAAAATTTTGGAATGAGAAAATGTTTCTATTTGAAAAGAGAGAAATTCTGGAATTTTTGGAAATGATAAAAATCAATTTATAATGAAATCTACTCATTCAATTAATGACTTGGAACTTTTTCCACTTTTGGAAGGAATCCATGTCTCCAAAGTCTGTGATTTTTCACTTTTAAATAAAATTGATTTTTACAAAAAATTGAAAGCATTTTAAACTCAATTTATAGGCCTGCTAATAGTCTTGCATTTGTTTTCTAGTACAAGTACTTTGTTTTTCTATAATCTCTGATTTTTTGAAAATTTCAGGAAAATACAAATTTTCACATTAATAAAAACTTGTGAAAGCAAATGCCTTCCCCCCAACCACTATAAAACCTTTTTATCCTTTCTTTCCTTCCTTCATTGATGTAATGTACACCAGAAATGTGTCTTTATCTAATGCAGTGCTCTGTAGTACAGGTGAAAATTGTGCTGCACTTTTAATTGCAAGGTCTGAGTTCAAATCCAGTATGAGGCTGGTATTTTTCTGGGACATGAGGAATGAGAGAGACCTGATGCAGAACCTGTGATTGAGCTATTAAAATGCAATCCAAGCACGATTTAGTAATAAAATCTGCTTTCAGTGATAGAAAGGCAAAATACATTCTCATCACTAAAAAGAGTTAAATAATATAATGTTGGAAAAAACCAGAAGAATCCACTAATGCACTAAGCATGTGGAAAATAAACTTTTCCAAAAATGTCCTGATGTAGTGGTCTGATAAAAGTGTGGGGCCACATTTTTATTTGATATAGAGGACAAGAATGTATTCTCTAAGGCCCAACACTCCATCAGACCAAAATGTTTGGACATTTTTGCAAAAGTTCATTTTTTCAAATTTTTAGTGGATAATAGTCAATTTTCTATTTTTTTAAACAATAGTTTCTCAATCAGCTTCTTTGCAGCACAGACAATCCTGTCCTTATTTCCTTCAAAAATATCATATTGGGCATATTTTAAGGCGCAGCAATTTTTCAATTTAGTATCTATTACAGAATCATGAATAAAATGAAGCACTGATCCAAATATTGCACACTCTGAGGAAGGTTTATTTCTTGAAAATTAAATTCCAAACTCTGTTTCACTGAACATCCATCACGCAAATATATTTTCATAATTTTTTCAAAACTTCCTTCAAATCTCAGGATGAATTCACAAGGCTGACAGCAAATCCCCATAGGTTTCCCCCTTCCACAGAGCTTGATATCACAGGGCAATGTTTAGCAGCTAGAATGCCAAGAGATTGTGGGCTTCCAACTTGAATGTCTGCTGCAAATGACAGTTTGTTCCAGTAGTGAAGTAAATAGCTGTTATTTGCCTCTTTCAGGACTTGCTTTCCAATGGTCTGGTCTGTACTGAACAACTTTTGCCACATTGGGTAGCTCACTGGGTAGAAAGCATCTGTGAAGTGAAAATTGCCTTTGTCACACAAAATTCACAAACCACTTGCTTTATTGGTGCAAAACCTGATAACAAAAACTGTGAGCTAACTTAAAAGTGATGTCATAATGGCATCATTCAGCCAAAGATAAACTATGAATGAATGAACAGAAAACTTTATTTGCCGCTTTTCAGCGTTCACAAGGCACAACCAAGACTCCCGCATCCAAACCCCCTCCCCACCCAACTCAACTCCCCCCAAGACATTCAATCACTTTATATCATGAAACAAAGCACAAACCAATGACAAAATTCAAGATAAACTATTTAGCCTCATTTGGATGATATTAACAATAGAATGTTGGTGTTGACCACCAGAAGTACTCTGAAATTTTATGAAGAAAAAAACTCACTGGTGGGAAGCAGCTGAAGGTTTTTGCAGTTACCAGGCCTCAAAGGTTGAGTGTTGTTCATGCCACAAAATTTCTTGATGACCCTGGACAACAGAACTGGACCATTGCTTCCCCAATTTCCAGGATCAAACCTTATTAGAGCCAAGGTGAGTTGTTCATAAAACCAAATAGTTCAAAAGCAGTGTTGCAAAGCAACCTTATATAATGGTTGATTATTTTCTTAAATTTTTGAGTCAGCTGAATATTTAGACAAGTATGTGCAATTTGCCATCAGTGGAAGCTCTTGATAAAGAAAAAAACTGAACAATAAATGGGGTCTTTATTCATGAAAATGATCAAAGGTACAAGGTAAATCTCAAAGTGCACACTTCATGGTAGTTGCCATGCAGTGGTGTACAATTTAGTTCCACCCCATATCTGCCCAAAACTCAACAAAACTGTCAATTATGGATAGGAAGAAAATAAATTCATTTCTGAATGCACCACTGTGTATGTATATGTTAGCTCATGGTTATAAAAAATAATTGGTCTCCACACCATGGAAGAAATGATGACCTAACCTTTGAACAACCTCATCCAGACATCCAGACATCACAGGGTGTTGCTTAGTGAAAGCCATGACACCATTTGCTGCTCCAGAAGGAGTGTAACCCTCCAAACCCACAGCATTCAGCAAATCATCCATGGGTCTCATGACAATGACATCAGTGTCCAGATAGAGTCCACCATATTTGAACAAGGTGACATATCTCAAAATATCACTAGTATGAGCAGTTTTGAACCTGCTTTTCTGAAGCATTCCCTTTGACAACCACAATTTCACAACTGTTCCTTCCATCCACTCAAAAATGTCCAATGGGATGAACTGGACATTTGGGTAAGTTTTTGTCCAGGTTTCTGCACTGCATGGTAATTGCAAGTGATGGTACCTCACAGCCACAATCACAGGTCTTTTCGGGTGATGTAATGCTGCTGACTCAATGGCACACAGCTGTTTGGGACTCAACATTGGCAACCCTGTGGTCTCCAGGAAGTAAATTCCATTCTCTGGAATTTTCTGCCTTGGAATAGGAGTTGTTGGTACAGTGCTACCAAGTATAGTTGCTAACCTGGTCTCTTCAGAAGGCATGGGTTTTATATTATACTTATTAAGACATATTATGCCAATTGTCATGAGGGCCACAAAAAGTGTCACAGCATGGAAATATCTCCTGTCACAGACTTTATGCTGCATGGTTTGTCACTGGAAGCAATGAGTATGTGGGTTTTTCTTGGGTTTGAGGCACAGTTGTGGGGTGTAGTATCCTTGGCAACCCATGACCTCTGTTCCCTGAAAACATTCGCCTGTGGAATAATTTCACAACTGTTCCTTCCATCCACTCAAAAATGTCCAATGGGATGAACTGGACATTTGGGTAAGTTTTTGTCCAGGTTTCTGCACTGCATGGTAATTGCAAGTGATGGTACCTCACAGCCACAATGACAGGTCTTTTTGGGTGATGTAATGCTGCTGACTCAATGGCACACAGCTGTTTGGGGCTCAACATTGGCAACCCTGTGGTCTCCAGGAAGTAAATTCCATTCTCTGGAATTTTCTGCCTTGGAATAGGAGTTGTTGGTACAGTGCTACCTGCAGGTATAGTGGTTAACCTGGTCTCTTCAGAAGGCATGGGTTTTATATTATACTTATTAAGACATATTATGCCAATTGTCATGAGGGCCACAAAAAGTGTCACAGCATGGAAATATCTCCTGTCACAGACTTTATGCTGCATGGTTTGTCACTGGAAGCAATGAGTATGTGGGTTTTTCTTGGGTTTGAGGCACAGTTGTGGGGTGTAGTATCCTTGGCAACCCATGACCTCTGTTCCCTGAAAACATTCGCCTGTGGAATGATTCCAAAAGGCTTTTCCAGTGCAAGATCATTAGGTAATTTGACAGAGGATAATGAACAGAAAATGCTCGTTGCCATTCTCTATCTTCTCAAATGTTGTCACAGACCTTGGGACAAGTGATTTCTTGAGCAATATTGGGAGGAAAATATCTAATATTGTTGTTCACAGAGTGGTGTTTCATTAATGCCTTTTTCTTCATCTTAAAATTGCCTGAAATCTGACACTGTCCTCTTTCCCCTATGGGGATATTAAGAAAAACAAGTAAAAAATTAAGTTTGCAAAAATCCAAGTACAGCATCATAATTGAGACTTTTCATACACTGAGCATACGGCTTAGCATTTATAATATGTATCTTTCCTGCTTAGGTGCTGCAATAAAAGCTATAGATGATGAGTGATGAAGAAAGCAGATGTGAATGAATGAATGAACAGAAAACTTTATTTGCCACTTTTCAGCGTTCACAAGGCATAACCAGAACTCCTGCATCCAAACCCCCTCCCCACCCAACCCAACTCCCCCAAATACATTCAATCATTTCAAAGTATGAAACAAAGCACAAACAAATGACAAAAACAAAAGAGAACACACTCCACAAAATAAAACTGGACATCCTACACGTATGTTGCATACACCCACCCCTCCCCAATATTGAAGACAAAGCAGCAGTAAAAGTTTATTTACAGCACAAAGTCTTCAGCCTGTTTCTGTATGAGGTTTAGTTGAAAGCAGATGTAATTCTTATTACATAAAATTTTCCATCTACAGTATACTTGGAACTTGGAATGAGAAGCAAACTTTTGATTACACTTTCAAAAGTGAATTGAGCACAAAGACAGAAAACTCAGAGTAGAAGCCACAAATAAGGGTGAAAAAAGGGGTTCTTTGAGTTGAAAGGTGGCCAATATGAGCAATTCTAATTAAAAGAAGTTTCAATGTTGCATTTTCCTTGCAGTTCAAAATTTAAATGTTGAAATATGCTATGATGCTCAGAGATATTTTTGAAATGATTCTTTTATTGGATTTATAATTTGAATGAAATCCCTTGCTAACATGCTTGGAAGGCAAGTTGCATATCATATGATTTATTGAAACCCTCAAACACATTAAAAGCAAACAAAAAAGAAGGAAGCTTCAGGAATAACAACAAAGTCCAGATTTTTTGATGGAATAAATTATGAGTCCCAATTCCCCATTGGACATTGAAGCAGAGGCTTGTGATCAACACAAAAAAGTCAAGAACAGGAATTCAAAATGCTCATAAACCTCACATACTCATTGCATGGCCAAAACAAAAACCATCCAAAATCAGAAATTTAGAATTTCCGGATTTGTTGATGGAATTCATGTCAAGTCCCCACAGCACTCCATTGGTCATTAATTTTTCAGATTACAGTCAACCCCCGTCTAACGGACTTGATTCCTGCAAGGGACGAGTCTGTTAGACAAAAAGTCCTTTACACGAATTCAATTACATAAGCTGGTCTGTTTGGCGAAAATCCCTTACACGGGAGGTCTGTTAGGCGGGGGCCACTGTATTTCATTTCTGTTTCAAGGGCCAATGATTTTACCCTGCATTACATCCCTCAAAACACTCTCCATCAGCAGAACATCTTCCATCTGCTTGGAACCATCAGGAATGAGAAACTAACTTTGAAGTTGAAATTCAGAAGGAAATTGAGCACAAAAACCGAAAATCTGGAATACAAGTCACAATAAAGGCTTGAAGAACAGTGAGTATGCTGCATTTGTCGTTGGAGTTCAAAATAAGTCAGAACCATGTTCTAATGCTGAGTTCTCCATTACAATAATCATTTCAATAACATCAGTATACAGTACATTTATTTTTCACAATTTACATATTATATTTAATTTCTTTGCTTCCTCTTTGTCAGTTCCATGAGGCAGCATATACATTTTATGCCAGGATGCATTGATGTCAATAAGTTCAATTTGATATCACTTCAAACCCTCTAGTACTTATTGAATGTACAGAGACACAAGAAGGAAGGACCAGATATGAAATTAAAGTCAGGATTCTTTGATTGATTTGATGTCAAATTCCCCACAGCTCCTCATTGGCTTTTAAAATAGAGAATTCAGGACAATTTTTTTTTAAATAACAAGCACACCAAGAGGTTGATGGGATTCGCACTTGATTGGGTTTATCCACACAAACTTTATTCCAATGGTGCAGTGCAATAATTGTCCATCAGTATACATTTTTTCACTATCATTATGGATCATCATCATATGAATAAAAAATATTCCTTGTATGCCCCGAAGCAGGTTATGAATATTATTCATTATTGTGCATCGTGATTTCAAACTTTTGCGCAATATCTCATATTGCCAATTGAGCATTGCCCAGTTTACAAATTTTCTAGTTTTTGATAGAAAAAAATATGAGAAAGCAAGAAAGAAAAGAACGAGTACAATACTGTAGTACAGAATGCGGGAATTTCACGCGATGGAAGCTATGATAGTATTAGTGGCACCGGGACATAGTTTCCACAAACGCGCCAGATGCGTTGTTAAAACCGTCACATAGGTGTCGCTTGATCCAAAACTTATCAAGCCGCGGCCGCAGAGGGAACTTTTTTTCCGAAGTTCGGAGTCACAATGATCGCATAAATAAGGTATTCGGCCAAATACAAGGTAAAGGTCGGTGTACAGATGTACCAAAATTCCAGATTTATAATAATCGTGATCAAGAAAAAGCTACGAGTTCTGCAGTACCCCGTGTAGTACATGAAGTCTAGTACTTGTTTTCGCACTATTGGCAGCATTCGGGTCATTCGCGATTTTGAATCGACAGAAGGTCTTCAATCACGGTTCGATCATCAGCAATCATTATCTGCTGCTGAAAGTGGTTTCAAATCTCTTCGAAAATTACGCGAAACTGCGCAGAAGACCCCAAGAAATTTCGTAATCCACGGAAATTTCTTTCCATCAAACAATCGGTGATTTTTTTCGTTCCGTGTTTTGATCTTCTCGCGATATATATGCTTCACTTATTGTCTCTTGACAACATAACGATTTACTTCGATGAAAATAACCGAACGTGTTCGGACGCGTAATAAAATGGAATTAATGTAAAGGACTGACCTCTATACGGCTCAAGACGAAATATTCCGGATGAAGAGTTGTGATGTCCGAGGACAGATGACTCCACCAGCGCGTGTCTCATGGAAGCTCCCCGTTCGTTCCGCGTCCGAAATTTTGTCACTATCGGAAAGTGAGTCTCGAGAACCGCGGATTTCCGTAACACTCGCTACACTTTGCACTTATTTACTAAGCACACGGTACGGGCAAAATAAAAAGCGACACTTGTCACGGAAAAGATGTATAGGAATAAAATTGCGGTCATTAGTCGTCATTGCGTCAGTTTCAAACGATCACTGCAAACGAGAAATCATGCGGAAAATCAAGGTACTTTCAGGAACAGCGAGTTTTCAGCATCAAACCTCGGAAGAGAAACATGAAGTACGACATCAACTACGTTCGCGACATCTACGCGTATATAACGTCACTCATCGAGCATAAAAATTACACGTCAGAACATAATTGTTTACGACGTTCATAAGGAACAAGATTTCGGTAACGAACCGCACCGGAGGTTCGTGGCAGACTGACGACCTTGAGCGATATTACGTACATCACGTTAGTGCTGGTCAGTCAGTACTTGTCAAACAGGTTTTCTCATTCGCGAGAACTTCCGGCCTCCTCGGGAACCTTCTGTGCGCTTCGCGCCTCCTATCGCGTAATCGTCAAAAGTATTCGCGGAACGTTTCTATTCGATGAGTATAGATGTCGCCGCTACCATACGCTGTCGTGTTCTTGTTCCGTTTTGATTCTATTCATCACAGTATACAGTACTGTACTTCAGTAATTGTGGATAATGAATGAATTTCGAAGGAATCTAAAGATTTATTTTCCACATTGATGCATGTCTGAATTTCCGAAAGTTAAAGCAGATCTTGGAAAACGAAATTTCCCTCACTTTTAGTTGAATGTTGAGAAAAATCAAATACTGTACAGGCAAACTGGAACCTCCCTAAGTTGAAAACCCTCCTAACTCTTTTTTTTCAGGTCTCTATCTGAATCCCTTCAGAAGCAATACCTAAAAAACTTCCCTAAGTTGAATGCTTTTACCCTCAAACCTACATAACTCAAATTTTCCGTGGCCTGTTTGCCATTATTTTCTTGACCCAAGAAAAAATAAATAAAAACATAAATTAAGGTGTTTTAAAATAGGTGAATTTTGCAAATGAACCCCTGCCTTAAAGTACAAAATCCTGTGAACTTATTTAAAAAGCCATTTAAGCACCATAATATCAACATTCACAGTTTTGGGCAGTTTTTCTAAGTTTTCCAAAAAAAGGGCTTTTTACTGTAGCTCAAACCTTTATAATTCAAAACCTCCTTAAGTGAAATTTTTTTGCTGGTCCCTTGAAATTTGACTTAGAGAGGTTCAACTGTAGTAATTTATTTAGGATTATACTCAAGCATCATGTGCACTTTTAACTTAAAATTTCAAGAAGGAAAGAGGGACTTGCATTCAATTTGAATTCAATCACAAAAATTTCAATGATTTCCTGATTTTGCTTCTTGAAAAATCACGTTGAGCAAATCATACTTCACACTGATGCTTGGTCATTTACTTTATTTATAGGGATCTAAAATAATGCATTGGTTCTTTGTGCATTTTGCCTGGAAATTGGCCACCTCTCACATTTTTCTGCTTGTTGTGCAGAAACTCTAATTCTAGTACCATAATATGTTAACTAATTCCTGAAACAATTATTGAATAGGAAAACAAAGGAAAGCATAGAGATGCTATTCGATAAAAAAAATTGAAGGCAATTCAATCACATGTTGAATTGTGAATAGCAGCAGATCTGATAAACTCTGCATTATTTGTTGAAGTATTTTTCCATGTGTTTTGGGGTTCACTTGGTGTCCTTCAATATGTTGAAGAGGGTTCCACAAAAACTCAAAATGGGAAGTGATTTAAAGGGCTGGAGGAATAATGCTGCTTCTCTGTGAGATATGCAGAAACTTTTCTTAAGATAAGTGTTTGATTTACATATAAAATTTGGATACAGCAGGAAATGAAACACACCATTTCTGTACTGTATTTCAGATCACATAACATACATTTGCCCCAAATCAACAAAACATCAACAAGACACACAAACACTACAAATACACATTGCATGACCATAAAAAGCCAGATGATAACATCCAGAATTTTGGAAATGTTCAGGATTTGTTGATGGAATTGAAGTCAAGTCCCCACAGAACTCCATTTGCCATTGAAGCAGAAACTTGTGGACAGTTTTTGGCCGCAAGCACACCAAGAGCTTGAGGGGTTCCAACATCAATGCTTCTATCCACAGAAAGTTTACCCCAGTAATGTACCAAATAGCTCTGCTCAGCATTTTTGAGAATGCTTGCAGAAATGTTTTCATCAGGGTTGAACAATGTTTCCCAGGAAGGATATGACACTGGATAAAATGCATCTGTGGAAACATTATAGAAATAAAGTGCAAGTGGATTTGATGAACCTCATTTGAATTGAATTGAATAGCAAGTTATATTCTCTTTTTTTGGCATACACCAGGCTCAAGGAATAATCCCTCATGTAAACAACCTTCCACCCCCACCCACCCACATTCATCCAAACACATTCCAGCCCTACAGAATGGAAAACAAAGTCATAAGCTGTTTATGGTTATCAAAAGTGAATAAAATACACCCCAAAATAATAAAAAAATTGCACAAATGATGTAAATGCTGTACATCCATTTTTTCTTTCCCTGATATTGAAAAAAATGCCAAGAATACTAATTTCATCCTAAGGAAATTATTGAACCCAAAGTAAAGCACAAGGTTTTCAGCCTGCTCATTTTCAGAAATGGATAAGTGCAGTATACTGTATAGTTTATTCTTGTCTCTCATCTATTGAAATAACTATCATATCCAACTCACTGATGTCCAAAATTCTGATGTGCCCACAATAAGCATGCTTAAACAAATCTGTTGCATTCAAGCTACAGTACGAGCAGATGACCCTTGTCAACAAATGTGGTCCATTGGTGCTCCAACTGTATGGATCATACCTATAGAAAGGGTAGGGAAAAATGTACTTTGACAACTAGCCACATATTCCAATTCATTTCATATTGGCTTGATGAGGCATTTGGTGGATGAATGAAACATAAAAAACAAGGATTGTACCAAGGACTTACTTTCAGCGCAGGATTACATTTAACAATTATTTGTAGTCTATACAAGGCATCTGTGCCTTGGTTGGATACTTCAGGAAGCTGAGTTTCTGAAATGTAATATTTCGGAAACTATTTTGAAATGAAAAAATATCTTTGGAGGATTTCTGTGAGATATATGAAAACTTGGGAGCTTATTTTGCTTGGTCATAGATTTATTCTAAAATCAGACAATTGAACTGACCTTTCAGACACCTCTTTTAAACATGCTTCTATGAAGGGATGGTGTTTCTCAAATGCCAGAACCCCACCATTGAGCTCTGTGGGTCCCTGAAGACCCAAAGCATTGACAAGGTCATCCATTGGCTTCATGACAATCACATCAGTGTCCAAGTACAATCCACCATACTTGAACAGTGTGACATACCTCAGGACATCACTGGTGTGAACAGTTTTAAAATTACTCTTGTCAAGTAAGTTTTTGGATAACCATGACTGAAGAATGGTCCCATTTAGCCATTGAAAAATGTCTATTGTGGTGAACATGATATTTGGGTACACTCGAGACCAGGATTTGACAACTGAGGGCAATTGCAAGAACTTATTTTTCACTGCCACTACCACAGATTTTTTGGGGTGATGTAGAGCTGCAGACTCAACTGCACAGAGCTGTTTGGGACTCAACATGGGCAATCCTGATGTCTCCAGAAAATAAATCCCATTTTCAGGGATATCTGATGGATCAATTCTATTCATTGCCTGTTGTTCAGCATTCATAGATTGACTAAATTTCTCTTTCCTTCCACTGATGAAAAATCCATACATTACTACACTGATCCATGCCAGGAAAATCGTTGCTCTCAAAGTATTTTTCCGAATAAGTAAATGTCCAACAGTAGTCATGATTTCCCGCTACAATACTTATTTCCTTTTTATGTTCACTGATGCCAAATTTTATAGCGTTCAAAAAACTGAGTTCTTCCTGGTGAAAGAAAAAGTCGTTTGTGTTGAGTTAAGAAAATTTACCAATTTACCAATTAATAAAAGTTACCTTTCACAGCAACAGAAAGTGAAACAAAGCATATTTAAATGTCAAACTTATTTCGAATCAAAGTAACCGCATCATTCCATGGTGAAACAATACAAATTCTCAATACATGAAAAAATCTTTTGTGATCAGAAAAAAGTATCCCCAATCTGAAAAAAATAAGAACATATACAGTGTACAAAAAGCTTCAGAATCCACCTAAAAGACCTGAAGGAAATTTTTAGCAAGAATCACTTGTTCCCCCCCCCCCCCAAAGTCTTTCTGGACTGAGGAAAGAGATGACCAGGGTTGTTAATTGTGCCACAACTTGGCTCAATCACAATTGCTAACACAATCACAAGCCTTGCTATTTCAATTGAGCAAGAATTTTTTCACACATATTGAGCTTTAATTTTTGAAAGGCTTGCAATTGCCATTGTGATTGAGATAAACTGATATACCATAATCACAATCACAACCAGTACCAAATAAATATAGCACTGTATGCATTTTTCTTGGGCAAATTGATTTAAATCATGATCAAAATTGAATGGAAAAATGATAAACTGTTCACTTTTTCATTAATTGTGTAAGTTGCTATAAATAAGTGACTGTATAGCTTTTTCCTGTGAGATAGCAAGGTCACTCCAGTCAAAGCTGGGGAGGCAAGACAGAGAATAGTAGACAAGCCCTGATAGTCAGTGAGACAGATAAAGAGTCTGGCTGGTCAGGACACACTGGTAGGATAGCTGGAATATAATTAGAGACAGTCATGGCTGAGCTCAGCTCAACCAAAATGTTTTTGACTGTGAGCTCTGCTGAGTGCACCCTCAGTACTGGCACATGAGAAAAATTGCACAATAAAATCCATGTATTTCTTGTGTATTCCTACTCAATTCTCTGCTCAATGTGAACACCTTCAAGAAATACAAAAATCTTTTGACTGGCGCAAAATACTCTCAGAATATGCTTTGAACAAAAAATGTGAATATTTGGCAGTAATAATTGTACTGTACTCATAACTCATATATACCATAGATGAATAATATATAAATGAAGAACACGAAAAATCTTTTGAAAGGAAACATTGATTTGATTGATTTGAAAATGAATAAATTTAGAAACTATTATTTGAACAACCAGGAAATATGCTCTTTCCCTCTGAGCATAATCATGAGAGTAAAAGCTGAGAATTCACATAATGTTTGATAATTGCACCATATAATACAATATGTATTCAGAAATTACACAGGTTTCTCTTAATTAAGAAAATTTACTTTCCAGAAAACTCTAAAAAGAAAATTCTGATGACATACATTCAAGGCACTCATTTTGTAAATCAAAGAAATCAATCAATAAATTGCACATTGTGTTCATATCATAACAAAAAGGTCTTTCAGATGTATTACTGTTTCAAATTGTCAACAAAGAAACCAATATAATTTTATGCTGCCCTCATCTTGTTGTCTTAAACTAGTGTGAATTCAAGATTTAACAATAATTGATCAGACAAATCCTCTCATTAATCTGAACTTAACCAGCATTGATGTTGGTGTTAAAGATTTAAAATGTTTTCTGCGTACTTTTGGAGAATCAAAAAAAGACTTCTACAAAACTGTGAAAGTGTGTTGTTTATTCCATTTCAAAAAGCATAGAACATGTGAGCAACAGCAACAAAAAGGTTCTTGCAGCAAGCATTTGGTCATAGTAAACTTAATATAAGACAGCAGACACTTGTATTTATAGACAATTGCGTTTGAGGTCAACGCCAAGCATAGCAACCAATTCAGATCAGTGTTGACATACTTTGTTGTGCAGCATCCAAGGTAAAAGGCATACAATGCATGAAGACATTTAAAGGAAGTAAAAGGTGCAGTTGCGCATTGATTAACTGGTCCATTGGAACCCCAGTTGTAAGGGTCATATCTGAAGAAAAAATGACCAGAGAGTGTTGGCAGTCAGGGCATATCATTCTTCTTTCCAAGTTGTTCCAGGTTTCATAGAGTCATATGGTGCATCCCCTTTCTTGGGAAGAGGACAGGTTTTGTGAGAAACCTTCCTGATATACAGTACTTTTCCAGCATGACAGTTGGGCTGTGAAGAATTACTCAGTTGAGCAAATTCTTGTGTCTTGTTTTTGACACAATTTTTTGGCTCTTTCCAAAGTTTTGAGACTTTGGGATTATATTTCAGATAAGTGTGCCAATGCTGAGGATCAGTGTGCCAAAAAGACAAATGGCAAAACCATCTGGCAACAGTTGAGCTGTCAAAAGGGTTGTTCACCCTGAAACTTGGCTGGGGTCTTCGGTTTTATGAGGTACTGCTTTGCCCAACACAACTTGGGTATTTTTTTGCTGTACTGCCTCTGCATCCACCAAAACAAAAAGGCAGAAGATCCATAACAAATTTTCCTGAAAGAGGGCAATTTGTTCTCACAGTATTTTTCTCTCTTACAATCTGTTTCTTGAAAACTGGAGTTTTTGGGAATAGATGTTCTTAATAAATTGACCCTTGACAGTTGTGCCAAATTTATTGGGATCTGGCAGAAGTCCTTGATGTTGCTGATAACAGACCCCTGGAAAAAACTGGGGTGGAAGAATGCATAAAAGCCAATCCACCAAAGGACCAGAAGATTCAGAACAATGCAAACTGTCACTGCACCAGAACACAACTCATTTCAGCAACTTTGCAAGAAACTCAACTCAAGAAATTCCGTGCAAAAATTTGGCCGGATTTTCAAACGCAATCTTTTGTAAAATCCGTCTCTTGAAAATGAATTCATGTGTCTTAAAAATTTGTATCTTTGTATAAAAGTGTTGTGTGAAAACAACTTTGCACTTATTTTTGGCAGGTTGCATACCTGCCAATTCTTGTACACTTTCTTTACTCCATCTCATAAAATTTTATTTTATGCATACATGGAGTTAATTAACCAGCTTTGCAAGAAAAGAATACTCCATAAAAACTCCTGAGTAAAGTAAATTTCTCTTTTGGAACTCCAGATACAATTTTTACATGGGCATCATGACAATGGAAAATAAAAATATTGAGTCCAGAATCCGAAAAAAAACAAGGTACAGTAAAATATTTTGTAAAAGAAGAAACTCGAAGGACTTGAGGCGGTACTTTAGCACAGTTGTTGAAATAACAATTGGCCATTCGTAAATACCCACGTACATTACTGTACAGTTCTGTACCTCACTTGACGGACTCACAGACGTCCTCTACACTGTGAATTGTGTATCTTTCCAAATGTTACCGGTATCTTTGTAGATGTCGCAGGAAATGCCACACGAGAGTAGGCCTTACACTACTTCAAGCATAATCGATTGATCCCTTGAGTCGTCGGAAATACTTCACTCATGGTGCGATCAGCAAATAATATTCGCTGAAAGTAAGTTTCAAACCGCTTTGAACAACAATGAATGGAATTCTGGTGATTTTCCTTGTACAGTACAGTACTGTATTATGCCTATGCCACTGCATGCTCCACTCAATCACTTCAGCAGCAATCATGAGTGGGTTGTATACAATACTCATCAATACTATTTATGCTAATTGTCATTAGGGCCACACATACTGAGTATCACAGCATGGAAATGTCTCCTGTTACAGACTGTTTGCTGAATGGTTTAATGTCCAAAGTGGGAGAAACAAGCAGTAGGATCCTACAGGGGTCTGGGGGGCAATAATAAGGACATCGTGTAACGTGTGTCTGTGGCCTATCAATTTTGCACCTTGTTTAACTGTTTGTTTCTCAGAAGGGAAAACGTATCCATTAGATTAAGTTGTCAGGATGGCCAATAAGTGGTCTAAGGCGCTGCGTTCAGGTCACAGTCTGGTTTTGCAGGCGTGGGTTTGAATCCCACTTCTGACATTTGTTTTTTCATTTTTTTTTTTTTTTTTCATCTGCACTGCAGACGCTCTACTACTTGTAATTGGGAGAAGTGGGTCTTCAATGTGTATTTTCCCTGCTGAGGTCCTGCAAGAGAAGAACTTCTGACATTTGTTTTTTCATTTTTTTTTTTTTTTTTTTGTCTGCACTGCAGACACTCTACTACTTGTAATTGGGAGAAGTGGGTCTTCAATGTGTATTTTCCCTGCTGAGGTCCTGCAAGAGAAGCTGTAAATACCAGTGATGTAAATGATACAATTCATGCAGTGCCAGATTAAATCTCAAGAGATTTCCTTTCATTGTGCATTCATCTTCACAATTTTTATCAAAGCTTATGGAGTCCTGATACATTTTTGAATAAGATGTCTGACTTGTTGCACAGTTTGCATCCTTTAGTACCATTTGAATTTTGTAGAACCTTTTTTAGATTTTCTGAGCAACATGAACTAATGATAAGGGATAAAGTCCTTCTTCTCATCATTATGGCGCCATGCGCACGAAACATACAATAGACAAGTTTCCAAATTGGAAGGATCTAGAAAGTTTTCAACCTGTGATTGCACAGAAGTGCACTGTTTTCCATGAATGCATCATAAGATATCAATAGCTTTGAAGAATGAGGTTCAAACATTTGTATTATAGTACTGGTGTACAGTAAAATATAATTTCAATGACTTATAGACGAAAATTTTTTGCAACAAAAATTAGCTGAATCAATATTTAAAGACATTGCTGATGCAAGAAAAAATTGAAGCTCTTTACAAGCATTGTATGACTTAAATAAGGTAGTCAGTGATTTTTGTCAGCACTGTTTCTTTCACAACACAACAAATCATGTCCCACCAACCAGGAACTTGAAAGGAGAAACAAGAGCCTCTTCAACATAAATTCAATAGGAAATCAAACAAAAAATGAAAACCAGGAGTGGTAGCCACAAAGAATGTTGAAGAAAAGTGAGGCTCTGGGAGTTTAAAAAAAGGTGGCAAATTGGAGCAACATATAGTGAAAAAAGAATCAATGTTGAATTGTCCTTGGAGTTCAAAATTTCAACTTGGAACCATGTTCTGATGCTGGGTTCCATTGGATTAATCCTTTGAATAAAATCTATATACATTTACTTCTAGCCATTTACAACTGATTTGCCAATTTTTTGGCTTCCAGTTCTTCAGTTCTGTAAGGCAGAGGAATTTGTTGCCAGGACATTTGGATGACATGTTCAATTTCATACCATTTCAAACTCTCAAACACTGATTCAATGCACACAAAAACAAGAAGGAAACATCAGGAATGAAAACAAAGTCAGGATTTGTTGATGTATTTCATGTTGAGTCCCCACAGCTCCCCATTGTCTATTGAAGCAGAGACTAATGGACAATGTTTGGCAGCAAGAACACCAAGAGCTTGAGGGGTACCCACTTGAATGGGTTCATCCACAGTTTTGCGATTCCAGTAATGCAGAGTATAACTCTGCTTAGCCTTTTTGAGAATACTTGCAGAAATAATTGGAGCATGATTGAACATTGATCGCCATGAAGCATATTTGACTGGATAAAAGGCACCTGTAAAAAGATCAAAGACACGCATTTGGCATGCAGTGCAAATGAAATTGATGAACTTCATTTCCAAGCTAGAATGATAGTCATGTACTTATGATTTGAGACTTTCAATGTTTAAAATCTGATCAGGAGTTTCAGGACATTATTATATGATAATTTATTAGCAATAAACATTAAGCTTGTTTGTTACCAGTGAATGAAGTGACCACTTGAAACTTAGTCTCTTCATATAAAAAACCAAGTGCTTTTCAAAATTCAGATGACACCCATAATGTGATTGATTGTTTGTGAAATGAGATTTGAACCTCAACAGAAGGGGGAAGCTTTTGCAAGATAAGGTAATGATTGTGTCTCAACGATCCACCAACCTGGCCTTGCACCCCAGGCAAAAAAAAGGGTCAGGGTGAGAATCGGATCTATCAATGTCACTGGCCCCAGGAAAAGCCTTTGACTCGTCCGCGCCCAATGGAACAAATGAAAAAATGGAATGTTGCACTGAACAGGACGCTGTCTGGTGGACGCTTTCTATTGGATGATGTCTGGCGCCACAATTGAACTCAAAAATTCACTAAATTCAACATTCTTTACAACAAAATTTCTGTAAATTGCATTACCTATCACTGTCACATGCCATGCTTTAATGACACCCTTTAATCCATTCTTGGGGATTCCTGTCTTTTGAAATTTGGTATGGTCCGCTAGACTTCCTTACACAGCATTTTTGCATGAATTGATTTTGCTGCAACCTTCCTATAGCAGATTTGTGGGTGATTCCTCAACATTTATGTCACTATCACAGCATCATGAACATTTGGCATACACAAGATCAACCAAGTGCTCC